ATTAAAGTCTTTTAAATTTATTAAATGGTATCTGTGTATACAATTGATTTCCAAATGTCATAAATTCTGTTATTATTAGCATAAATGATAAAATGATATCTTAATTTAATCACATTTTCATATCAGCAACTTATTAATATGCCATCAACATCATAAAAAGTCTACATAAAGTGACCTTTTTATATAAACTAATTTTATCAGAAAATCTGAAAGTGCAGATAAATTCAAAAGTAACTGAAGAATGACAGGAGGTCAAGCACCATATGCATGAAATGCATGGTTGTTATAATGCAAAAGTATACCAATGTCAATGTGTCTATTGTAAGAATAGGGAAAAACTTCAAGGTATATTCAACCTTTTGATAAAAAAAAAATTCATATCTAAATATGAAAATTCCAAAGTGACTGTAGCATGACTAAGAGGGATGATGATGGAAGATTCACATTCTTCCTAAAACTGAGACTTAAATATCCCATAAAAACCATGATTAAAGATACAGTGTATTATTCAAATACAGTGTGAACATTTTTATAGGACTGCAAAATTTTTGCGTTTGTATTATGTTATGCAGGCAATGTTTGTGTTGTCGTCATCCGAAAACATTTTGGTTTCCAGACAATAACTTGAGCATAAGTGTATGGATCCCTATGAAATTGTAGCACAAGGTTCCATACCACAATAGGAAGGTTGGGATTGATTTTCGGGGTTATTGTCCTAACTGTTTAGGAATAAGGGGCCAAAAACAAGCATTTTTCTTGTTTCAGGACAATACCTTGTGTATAAGTGTATGGATATCTATGAATTTAACCACAAGGTTCCATACCTCAAAAGGAAGGTTGGGATTGATTTTGGAGGGTTATGGCTGAAATATTTAGGTAATAGGGGCCAAAAAACTAGGAATTTCTGGTTTCCGGACAATAACTTGAGTATAAGTCTATGGATCTATTTGAAATTTTATCATAAGGTTCCTTACCATAAAAGGAAGGTTGGGATTGATTTTGGGGGTTTTACCCTTAACAGTTTAAGGAAAAAGGGTCCAAAAGCAATACTTGTCTAATACTTTGTATAAATTGCTATTTCTTGACCAATTTCAATGAGGTTTAATTCTAAGTCTTGAATTCTTGGGGTATTTAATATGCTAAATCTAACTGTGTATTTAGATTTTAGATTTTGGGCCTCATATTTGAATTGGTCCACATGAAGGTCCAAAGGGTCCAAAATTGAACTTTCATCTAAAATTGAATTATTGGTATTCTTTGATATGCTGAATCTAATCGTGTATTTAGATGTTTGATTTTGAGGCCCTGTTTTGTCCACATTAAGGTCCAAAGGGTCCAAAATTAAACTTTGTTTGATTTAAAAAAAAAAAGAGTTCTTTGGGTTCTTTGACATGCTGAATCTAACTGTGTATTTAGATTTTTGATTTTGAGACTGGTTTTTAAATTGGTCTACATTAAAATCTAAAGGGTCCAAAATTAATCTTAGTTTGATTTTAACAAAAAATGAATTCAAGGGGTTCTTTGATATGCTGAATCTAAACATGTATTTAGATTTTTGATTTTGGGCCCAGTTTTAAAACTGGTCAAATCAGGGTCCAAAATTAAATTTTGTTTGATTTAAACAAACATCAAATATATGGGTTTCTTTGAAATGCTGAATCTAACCTTGTATTTAAATTTTGAATTTTGGGCCCTGTTATCAAATTGGTCTACATTAAGGTTCAAAGGGTTCAAAATTAAACTTTGTTTGATTTCATCAAAAATTAAATTCTTGAGGTTCTTTGACATGCTGAATCTAACCGTGTATATAGATTTTGGATATTGGACTATAAAAGATAAATGTCCAATTTCAAATTTTTAAGCTCTTAGACCACATTCATTCTGTGTCAAAAACTATACTATGTCAAATATATAATCAGAATCAGAGCTGTATAGCACAATTAATGGAAATTGTTAGTAGAGCCATATTTAAAAATAGATATAGGATCAAATTTAATTTTAGAGAAGAAATTATGTATGAATATAGTTTGAAATTTACTCTTCATTATTAAGTATTTTGAATATAATTAAAGGTAAATTTTATAGATTTTTTAAAGACTTTGTATCTGATCTTACATCTAAACCCTTCAGAATGAAAGTTTCATATCTTCTCTCATTTATAGAATGGTTAAGTAGAGCTGTAAATATGTCATCTCATGCTGAAGGGACAGATAATATTACTTAACAAGCAGATGTTTAAAACAAAAACTGAGTTTGTTAACATGTAGAGATGATTGTGTGCAGTTTTCGATATTACCACTCCAGGACAGGAACAATGAAGTTAATTGAAATTTTGTTTATTTTAACAATTTTATAACTAATCATGGAAATTAACTATTAAGATGAATGATATTTCAATGTATTTCATGAGGGCCTCAGGGAAGATTAGTTTTACAGCTAACTGTTTTTTTAATTTTTTTTTTTAATTTTTTGTAGAACTTCATGATAGGTGTGTTTATTATTCTGTATAAATCAATTTTCAGAATGTTAAATATATATATATATATTTACTTTTTTTTTATGAAGGGAACCAATTAAAAACTTAGATAATATTGTCTATTAATAAATGAATTAATTAAATTCTTGGTGATCTTGGATATGCTGAATCTGTCCAAATCAGGGTCCAAAGTTAAACTTTGTTTGATTTCAACAAAAATTGAATATATGGGGTTCTTTGATATGCTGCATCTAACCTTGTATTTAAATTTTGGATCTTAGGCCCTGTTATCAAATTGGTTCACATTGAGGTCCAAAGGGTCCAAATTAAACTTTGTTTGATTTCATCAAAAATTAAATTATTGGGGTTCTTTGACATGCTGAATCTAACTGTGTATATAAATTTGGATATTGGACCATAATAGGTAAAAGCCCAATTTCAAATTTTTGAGTATTTTTACCTTATTCATTCTGTGTCAAAAACCTATGATGTGTCAAATGTTTAATCACAATCCAAATTCAGAGCTGTTTCAAGCTGGAATGTAGTGTCCATACTTGCCCCAACTGTTCATCGTTCAACCTCTGTGGTCGTATCAAGCTGCGCCCAACAGATCAGCAACATATTTTTAGCGTAAAGAAATAAGCTGTGAATTGGTTTCCAACATGATTTAAACAGACTATAATTTCCTTGTTTTATATATGATGTGGAAATAGGGTTTTCAGACACAATATAGACTGACTGTAAACACCTTGCACGGAAGCACCTGTTAAAATTAAGATAGGTTTGTGGTTGTAACACACAAAATTATAATTGGTTATCTGATTTCATTGATTATAATTATGTAAAGAATTATATAAGTGACACAGCAATTATTGCAAGGATATGACATTAAGCTTTTTAACCTTTATTGGAGTTTTAAACAGTTAGGTTTTGTATCCAAAATTATACTTTTGACATGAAAAAAGATTTACATTTTTTTTATTTAAAATGTCTAGTCAACATGGTCAAGAGATATTTGAATACATTGGTTTGTTTGTATATCTGGAATAAATTTTCTTTCAAACTTAATCCTATTTTTTTAATTTAAGGAGTTTGAACAAAAACAAAAAGAATGTTTCCAAATAAGCTCAAAATTTATTTAGTGGTGAAATCCTTGAGAACCACTTAAGTTTTTATGGCTAACACAGGTCCTTTCTGTATGACTGTTAAACCAAAGCAGTCTGATTGCAATTCTTATACATTTCCAAATGAGACAACTATCAATGAAATGAAAGACCAATAGACAACAATGGGAATCATTATAGGTCACTATACAGCCTTCAACAATGAGCAAAACCCATACCATGTAGTAAGCTATAACAGGCTAAAGGATGACACAATGTGAAAAGACAGGCACATAAAGAATGTGAAGGGGTTAAACATGTTTGTGGGCACCCTCCCCTATCCTGGTTTGTAGTCTTTCCTTGCATTTTTGCATTGATGATACAAAATAAGTGAATGAAGTAAGAATATTGACATGACAATGAGACAGTATGGTTTACTTTAATTATTTCTTGAACAAATAGTATCGTTATTTTCAAGTAATAATTATGTGGAAATAAGGAAAGTTTTAAATTCATAGACTACATCTATAGAGAGAAATGTTCTAATATTGATTTTGAGACAAAGGTTTCATGTGAGAGATAGAATAAAAATTACATTAGAAACAGTTGTAATATGCTTATTTTATCATGTGAATAGTTACAGAAATGTATTTTTGATGAATTTTTCTGAAAAAGAAATTTCTATCCATCATAACCTAGTTTAATGATGTTACAGTTTGATTAGAACCCCTTCTGATATCATTTGAACAAGTACAGTATTTATATGAAAACTTCAATTTTCAAGTTAATATCTCCAACATATTTTTATGTGAGAATCAGATGAAAATTTTTAAATGGAATGACATACTCCATTTAATAGATATCATTTGTGGCTCATTTTCAAACAAACTGATCATACTTGATAAAAAAGGTGAACAGTTATCCGATCAAAATATTTTTGGTAGAGTCCCTTCCTATCCCCATGTGTGAAAAACAAAATAATTTCTTGATCTGAGTAACCTTCATTCATTGTAGAAGGTGGCTCCAGTAGTCTAAGTGACTCGTCAATTGAAGCATTCATAGGAAATATCCAAAATCTTCATTCAATAACTTTTTTGTTTGCTTGACTAATTTTTCAATTTCAACTTTTCATCCTTTTTTCATTTATTTGAAGGATAGAGAAAACATCCAAAGAAGAAGATTGTTTTTCAATGGCAGACTATTTTAGTCATGGAATCTGCAGTAGATAGATAAACACATTGATGGTATGTAGACTCCAGGCTTTATCTGTCCGATATTTATCAGCTCAATTAAGTTTGTTGACTCGTCATTCATAAAACCGCAGGTAGACACTACTTATAGCTCCAAACAATTGGGTACCTTTAAAAAACTTCTTTTAGCCAATGAAAAATCTGCTTTAGTGTTAATGATATATCCACTTGTCAACACTTTAAGTGTGGAATATTAACTACTAAGGAGTACTTATTATTTTATTACATGACAGAGCTGAAAATAGTTTCACATCTTCAGAACAGATCATAGCATTTTGATGTGCATGGATATATACAGGCTTAATAGATTAAACTGAAATAATTAGTGATAACTTTTAATTTAGGAATTACTATTACTCAAGCTATCAGTTGGACTTAATGTTAATTTATCAAAATAGGTAAGTCTTTTTTTTCTATTTCAAAATATAAAATGGAAAGAAAATGATAATTTTTGGAAAAGTCTGTTTAAGGATTTTGATGTTTAGAATTTTGTTTCTCAAGAATTTGAACCAGATGCCATTCTTATCCTGCTATAATATTAATGTAAAAGATGAAAGCAAAGTTTTACATGTTTACATTTTAAAATATATCTATATCATTTGCTTATCTTTATGATAAACTCTCAATCAGAATTTTTAAATTCATGGTTTACATAATGAAAAGTTAACATTAGAAAATCTGAACTGAACACCATTTTTAATGCTAAAATAACAGTAATTTTGGCAAATTTCTTCAATTCTGAAAATGTTTTATCTTTTTTTGACGTAATTTTTTTTTTAATTCAAGTTCATTTAGTGGCGATTTAAATAAAAAATGGACAGCAAAATAATGAAAGGATTTTGGTTTGAACATTTTAATCATGATAAAAGTCTTTTGCAGAAAAGCTTATATCTGTTTTAATTAAATCACAAAAAAACTATATTTCATGTGAATAATAAAACCTTGTGAATGTTCTTGCCAGTAGCATGGTATTATACAGTTAGAGAGCTTTTGTGTATCATTAAAGCAATTCATTTTCAAATTCCTCCTTTAAATGAAATTAAACGTAACTTTAAAAATGCAGCAGTGACAAAATAAATATAGTTTCACATGCAAATTGATTTCTTTTTGATGTGAAGCAGTACGGTAAAGTAAAATATGCAGTTTAATTTTTCTGCATTCAATAAGTAATGTTGCACTGAATTGGTTAAAAATAATTATAGAGGGTGGTTGTAATTGATAGGTAAATATGCATCAATAATGCATCTACTGCACCTATAGTCTTTAATCTGCACCTGTCGAAAGTTAGTATAAAATAACAAGTGGTCATATCATTTTAAAAGAAGGTGGTATTTTATATTTTTATCAAGTAGAAAATAACATGCCCTTATATGAGAGGTGAAGTGTTAATTCAACTTGATGCTATATATATGGATGGGTTTCTAGGTACAGATATTTAGTTAACACTTGTTTTGTATTCAGAATCTGCCTGTACAAATTTGTTAAGAGGGAGTTAAAAGGACATGGCTATTGTCATCTTCTTGAATAAATCTGGCACATGAAAGATGTTATGAATATGAAAATTAAAAATTATCGGTCAATTTTTTATCATAGATGTTAATTTTTATGGAAGACTCATATTTCAAAGTGAAATTTTAAAAACACGACACTTATGAAAAAAGCAATCAAAATGCATTCTTCACACTTAAAGAGATATTCATATCTTTCTGTCACCAAGGTGTAAGACTTTGAGTGTTGAAAAATTATACAAGGACATAATTGAATAAGAGAAATTCACAGATCATTTTGATAACTGTTTTCTAGACCTGTTTATTTATTTTCCTAGTAATTCAGGATAAAAGTTCAGAGAACTGATTTATCTTTGTTTTTATAGAATTTGAAAGAAAAATCAGTATGAAACCTCCATACTATAGTATTGTAGCAAAAAGTGGAAGACAAAATGCATGGTTTTCTTTAGAATAAAGAAAAGATGCGTTTGCTGAGTTTTAAATCAAACATTTTTCATTAAATACTTATTGTAGTATTTTTAATACCCTTTAAATATTAAAGCAATCTCTTAGGACTGTTCTGTTAAAACTTATATGGAAAGGCACTTTTAGAATTTCACTGCACCAAAAAGGTATATGACACCACCTGCAACTGAGAACTTAAGTGCATCCATGGGTTCTATATAGAAATAAGAAGGTATGATTGCCGATGATACAACTCTCCACCAGAGACCAAATGACATAGAAGTTTACAACTATAGGTCACCGTACAGCCTTCGACAATGAGCAAAAACCAAACTGCTTAGTCAGCTATAAAAGGCCTGGAAATGATAAATGTATAACAATTCAAACGAGAAAACTAACGGCCTGATTCATGTACAAAACAATGAACGAAAAACAAATATGATGTATTTTTAAACATTATGAAAATTGACTTTTAGGAATGCACAAGAAAATGGCATGAATTTTTCTGTCAGACCGTCTCAGTCAACCATTTCATACTTTGCTGTAGTCACTTAATAGTTGTATGAGATTATATATCATATCAAATAGGCAAATAATAGCGTTATTGTATCTGATACCTAACTACTTTGACTTGTTGGCTAAATTTTATAGTAAAAGTTTCCGTTTTTGATATTCAAGACTTCAGTGTCTTACACATATGTGTAAAAAACTTGTTAACACGTTTTGTTTTACCTATTTTGTATAACATACTTTGTATAAAAGATCGCTTGGATCAGTTGACAGATTCTGAATAATGATAAGCTACACTTCTTGGCAGTTTTATTTCCATATCTTCTTTCAAGACAGATGAAATTGCTGAAAACATTTTCTAAATTTCACTACCATATTTGATATTCTCTGTTGCTCAACTTTGGTATCTCTTCTTTCAGATTTTCTGTTTGTCAGTACAGTAAAACCTTTGTGTATCAGAACAGTAAAATCCATTTCGTGGAACATTTCCATGGGCCTTGGTGACCAAATGGTCTAGGTAGCTTATTACTAATCAGTTGTAGATTTTAAACAAGTTATTTAGGAATCTTTCTCTCCCAAATTTTTTTGCAAGTGGGCAATTTTATGTACATGTATTTTCTTATCAATGAACTTAGGTAAAGTCCCCTGCATCAAGCTGTTTTTTACCTAAGCAAAATTGATTCACTGTGAAACAACTTCATCTCTCTTGATATGTTTCATATTGAAAAGCGTAATATGAACATCTTTGATACAATTTTGATCGAACTGACCAGTCCAAAGTAAAATTGTCAACACTTGCAAATAACATCAAACGAAATAAATTTCTTACAGCATTGATATTTATATCTGAATTTGGAAAGTTTTTTACACCTTCCTTATCTTCCATATACAATTAAGGAGATGTGGTATGATTGCTAATGAGACAACTATCTACCAAAGTTCAAATGAAGTGAATGTAAGCAATTATAGACAACAGTACTACAAAACCAAAAATTTACACTGGCTTTGATAATTCTTATACTTTGAGGAAACCATTTTATACTTGTATCCAACGATCAATTTGTCAAAATTTTAGGAATTTTTCTATCATCTGAACTTCATGGACAATTTTCACAAAGTTTCAATAGTATTCATAAGCATGGACATTTTTCCACTTTTGCTTTTTCCCTTTCTTCCTTTCAACCATTATTACTTTCAAAAGAATTGCATTATTACAAGTTTCTACTGTATAAAAGATCAATTTGATAACACCTCTGCATTGATCTAAAATTTCTTCATGCATTCTTTGTCATAGTATTAAAAAGATCATGATATGCATTTGATAGGTAAATAATATTTCACAGATATACGATATTGTGATATACAAGTTACAACCATTATACAAAACATGAAAATAACTCTTTAAAGTGATTAAATTTTAATTAGCTTACATAAGATCATGATAAGTAGAGATTTTTTTGGATTTGTCTCCCCTTTGATCTTAAAGATCTGGTGATATCTAAACAAATACATTTTTCATTTTATGTGTATTTAATTTGTTTACTTTTGTTTTACAGTTTTAAAAGTTTTAAAAGTTTAAACTCTTTGTGTCTTAACTTTCCTTTTGAAAGTGAAATTAATGAGACTCTTGTCAACAATATTAAATCTGTTTTCACATTTCAAGTGTAACTAGTATCTTGTAGGAATTGATTGTTAGCCTTTTTCCCTGTCATTTTATTTCATTTAATGATCACTTCATGAGTTTATCACCTTATTTATTTATAATTTTGATAAAAATGAATTTTAGTGTTTTACATTTGTATAGAATCAAAAGAGTGTTAAAGAGCTTTGACATTACCAGTACACTCACCACCACACCTATAGCACATCCACAAACAACAGAAAATGTTCTTCTTTGATCTTTTTTTGAATATAAATCCTAAATCATAGTTGCCATTGCTCCTGTTAGAATAGTTTTCAAGATTTATCTTATTTTCATCTTATTTGTGTTTCAATTCAAAGACCTAAAGTTTAATTGGATTTGCATGAGTATGAAGCACTGGGCAAATGAAGTAAGACTCTCAATATGTGTTCTTTTTTATACAGCTGTACCTTTTATCAACTCATTTACCTTTCTCACAACTCTTTTTCACTTTTATAACTTAATTGTAGTGTTAAAAGTGCCTTATACTCACGTGCTTATACTAGCAGAGTCGACTTTAGAATGCTTGAAAAAAATCATTGTATTGAATGTTCTTCAAATGACTTTTGGGACAATGATTTGTTTAATTCCAAGTTTTCAAATGTTGATACTTTTTACATTGAAAAGTGTAGTGTGAACAATTCATAATATTTTAAAGTTACAGTGTACTACTATCTTAATTGTTCTACTTGAGAAAATTTTGCCTTTTTACTTTTGTGACTATACTTGTCAACAAATAATTGAATATTTACACTCTTTTAATGTTTAAGATGTTAACTCCAGTCTCAGATTAAGTGTACAATTATGTTTTATATTGAATGAAAATGGCTGCAAACATGGAATATGTATATATAGCCTTGAAATATTCTTTTAATTGCTTTATCATGGCTATTATAACTTTAATATCTCAAGTTATTTTTTAGATTACAAGATATTTAAATTCAAATATGCTAAAAATCCAAACTGACATTTATTTACTATATGTAGTGTGAATTGACAAGAAAAATACAGCTGTTTTTACCTATACATTGAGCTTAATTTGTAGTTTTACAATAAAAACTTTATTTGACTAAAGGTGTTCTTTAATAGATAGTGGGGGTATTATCGTCAAACTGTCAGCGAAAAAATGATATTTTAAAGATCCTATAATCCTTAACAAATCTATGTTTCAATTATAGTTTAGTTAGAATACCGATTAGTTTAAGGTGGTCTGTGGCTTGTCCTTATTAAATTGTTCAAATAAAGAGTTATTTTTGTGGCTACAAAGGTCTAAAGGTGATGTTGGTATGTGTTCACAACCTGTAATTTGTGTTGATTGTTCACCAGAGTATTGAGATTCTACTTGGGACCTTCTTTCTGCTTCTCACTTTTCAGAATATTGAATCTTCTTCATGTTAATGTTTGTGTTGGGCTGTCTTCTGAGTACAAATATACAAAGTATTCAAATATAGTTCTAAAATAGTTCCAATATTGAATTGTTCTATGTATATATAACATATTATTTATTTATCTATCATATTGGTTGATATCAGGGGGAAAAATCATTAAGAATGACAGAAAAAGTTTTCCCCAGTCATTCATGGACAGAGAAAGTTATGTTACAAGTTTCCACAACTTTTGACAAATTTTTGATTTAAAGAAAATTAGTTAAAGTTCTGTATAATCACTTTGAATATTATATATTTTCTAATCACTTTTTTATTTTTTTTAATATCTTTTGGGGAAAATACTCACCTTGTTTTATGGCTTGCATGATTTAAAGGTCATAGAAAAATAAAAGGATAAAATTGTGTGTTTTATATTGGGCATCTGGGTGATAACCAAAATGACAAGCATTAGTCACCTATCACACTTTCAAGTTGTTATTTCATTAAATTAAACCAATTAAATCAAATTATTACATTGTATTTGTATTTGACATTTTACAAACTTCACCAAAAATGCAGGTATCTTTTTACAAAACATTTTCATGTGGCCTGGTAATTTACTGTGTTAGAGGTTGTTAGATGAAATATTTTCATCTGCTTACAGCTCAAGGTTGAAAAGTAAATAAAAGAGGAATTGAGATCAGAGTTTGTCAGAGGTAGAAGTTTAGGAAAAGGTTAAAGTTTCATTGAATAGAGATGCTGGATGTCTGGAAAAATATTTGTACCCTTTCATTTGTATTATAAAACAATCTGAAAATAGATGTAAAGTAGTTGTAAAGTTAAGTTATTAGTCTTGTGACTGGATCAGTCACCTTAGAATTTTTATGTCTGATAATATTTAACTTTGGCATTTTGGTCCAGTAAAAAAATTGTATAGAAGGTGCTTATTTCAACTTTCTCTGATGACCCGTAGAATGTAATTGAAAACAACTATTCACTTACAAAGTTTGCTCTTTGTTTCAGATTAAAATGTATACTGACCTGTGGATTATAATCTCTATCATCTGTGTTATACTTAGTGCTAATGTCTACTCATACAACCACATAGCTGTCCAAGGTAAGATTGAAAAACTAGTCCAATAGTACCAAACATTTTTGTCCAATTGATCTGACAATCATGTTTTCTTGCCCTCAAAGGGAAATAATTAAAACTGTTTTAAATGTTAAAGATTAGAGTGATGCTCAATGATACATCTTAGTATGCATTCAGATTTTAAAGTGTTGATGTATTAAACACAGGGATGTGAAGGGGGATAGAATCTAGGAATCATTTTTATTACATTGGATGACGTAACTTTCGTGTTGGGATTGTAACCGATCTATAAACATGATAAATACGCGAACATTATCGAGTGCAAAATAACTTTCCTTATCGCTTGTTATAAATTCATTTTTTCAATGGATACTCTTAAAAATATTTTTTTTAGAACATAAATTAATACTATGAAAATGTTTTGTCGTTAGAAATATATATATAAGTAAAAAATCTTTAATATCTATGCACACGTACAGAAAATGTGTGTTAACGCATGCGTAAGAATATCTCAAGAACGTTTGCAATATCCCATGCAGAGTTATCGGTCCTCGCTCTCTCTCAAGGACCGATAACTCTGCATGGGAGATTGAAAGTTTGGCGGGAAAATATGAATGCCTACTCAAATCCAATTAGAAAAATCAAATTATTACAGTAGAGTGTCCACCATGCACTTGCACTACACTATTATTAATATAGTAGAATAGAATGATATACAAATGGATGAAAATTATATATACATGTAACTGTAATATACAAATATTAATATAATATATAACAACAAACCAGAGTATACTGATTTGTATCACTTCAATATCATATTTATTACGGTGAGGTTGAATTCCCTGTCATTTATTTATCATCCACGCACGAACTTGTCTAAGAAAAAAAAAATTATATCTGTACATTAACCTCACTTTCAGGTATAGAGATGTGATTTTTTTTTCTGAGACAAGTGCTTGTGGCCATCCACAAGAACTTGCAGTCATCCGATGTTCAGTACTTCAATACTTTGATTTAGCAATTCTGCTGGTGGTCTGTAGTTAAATCATGGAATTACTTTGCAATTTACATATGATATATCACACACTTACTGAACAATATGCCATAAGCCATGGATTCCTTGTATCTGCTAAGAAAATGTGCAAAGAAAAGGTAAAATTATTCATTGTTCAATGAAAAAAAAATGACTAAATTATGTATTTTTAACACTTCTGTACTGCCAAATTACGACATTCACATATGATAGAAGAAAGTTGGTTACTCTAAGCATTTTGCACATTTTCCAAGACAGCAATTATAAGTATAAAACCACTTTTTACAATTTATTGTCCTGATTGTAAGACATAGAAAAATAGTCTGGTCACTTGCAGTATTGTGTCTGTGAATTTTGACACTTGTGTCTATGTAAATTAATGGAGCCACTTTTCTGTAAATTGAAATTCATCCTAGTCATCATAGATAATCTGCTTGTATGACATTTTATCTTAAAATGTATGATTGTTTTAGTTAAGTGGTGAGGTGTCAAAATATGTCATAACTGATTATAACTGATAATGCAGCAACTCACACCTTGAAGCTAAACAGAGTTGTGTTGCCTACTGTGGATGCTATTTACCTATCAAACACACCTTTCTGGTTCAAATGTCAAACCAAACTAAACAATTTTTAATGTAAAAAAGTGATAAATCTTGTAAGAAATTATGCATATGTTGTTTGGAAGAAATCAGATTGTTAGCTAGACACATGTTATTTAACATTAAAAAACTAATTTTTTATCTTGAAAAAATCAACTACTAGTAGTATAAAACATATTTTATAAATGCCATTCATTTATGGAAGCAATGGTAGACCACAATTTGATGACTTGAGTTGCTTGGAATAAACTGATAGCCAGCTGTGGAGACTCCCCTTCTTAAGCTGTTCATAAGGAGTAATTATAGAGGGCTCAAATCTAAGCCTTCAAGATTTAGTTTGCTCAAGTCAACTGATTAAAGTATTCTTGATATCATAGGAATTTATTTATATTTAATAGTATTTAGTTAATTGCCTTGAGTGAAGGCTGTTGGCAGTCATCACTTACTTCACATTCATCATGCAGGATCATGTCTTCAATTCAAACTAAAGTAGTTGGTCATTTTTGGTAAGGGTATCAGCCAGTAAGAATAAATAATCTATTTGTTACATTACTCCTTGCCTGTTGTGGTTTAAAGGAAACTTTACACAGAAAGTCTAGTTTAAAGTAAAGAACTGTATGGCTATGCTACCCCTTTTAATTTTCCTAATTATTATTATTGAAGTTCCATAGATGTGTTCACACAACATTGTTATGGGAAAATGATGATATTTTCACATCTTATATGATCTGAAGTTTGCTTTAACTGAATCTCATAGTTTTTTTTACATAATCTTAGGACTGAAGACATATAAGATACGTTTATAAGTTTTCACTTTTGTCTTTAAAGTGAAGAAATTCATTCATGAAAATGGATGCTTTTCCAGTTTTCCATAAAACTCAAGTTTGTTAAACCCCTGCTCCAAAGAAGATTAGGTATACTGTTTAACCTCTTTTTGTCTGTCCATCCAGGTGCCTTTTGTTAGACAGTTTCATGTTTTTCTCTGAACCAGGGCTTCCTGAAATTTTATATCAAGCTTCATGTGAACATGATATGTATGTGCCATGCATATCCACATTCATTGCTCATCAACTTCATGTTTCCTGAATATTTATATACTATCATGCATAATGGAGATTCTCTCCGGATAGTGTCCGGCTTCCTCCACCAATAAAAACTGTCTGACACGAATTAGCACAATAGAGTTGAAAGTGGCGTTAAACACCAATCAATCAAACATAATGATGATGTATGAGATTTCCATCACATTTATCTAAGGAAATGAGAATAAGAACTTTCTGAAATTTGGTACATGCATCAAGCTTCGTGTGAGCATACTTTACCGTGTGATGCATTGTCACATTCATCTTTCATCAACTTTCTGTTAACTGAATACATTTTGTACTTATATACTCTTACACATAATGTCCATGTATGAAAACTTCTCAGAAACTACAAATTAGTTCTTCTTGAAATTTAGTATAGGACTTCATGTGAACATCTTATAATGCATAGGCGGATCCAGGTGGGGGGGGGGTCCCTGGTTTTTGTGGGAAAAATTTGGTTGATTATATAGGGAATCACTGAAGCATGACTGTAGCGGCCCCCCTCTTATGGCAGTCAGTGGCCCCCCTTATAAAAAGTTCTGGATCCACCACTGTGATGTGTGATACTCTCATCAACTTCCTGGTTACCAAATACTTATTGCTGTAGAATTATATAATGCTCACAGTTTTATAATTTTAATTGTTACCTTCTATGAATAACATATTGCACTAAAATTTAGATTACTATGTTGAATTTGACCAAATCTCCTGAAATTTTGGATATTTTTTTCTGCATAGGTATAGATGTTTTCATTTTTATATTGACTTTCAGGTTCCGGATGTGCTGATGGATCAAGAATAGGACTATATGGACATGACAATATTGTTACGTGTCAAGGACAATGGAAAGGACATATAAACAACAGTAGTCATTTATGTGCTGCTGGATGGAAAGTGTGTTCGTATGAAGACGTGGATTTACTTGGAACTATTTCCTGGGAGGAAGCTATATCTGTGGAGGGATGTTATAGTATGAATGCTGCACAAGATGGTGGGAAATGTCAGAAATGTGCTGAAGATTATGGTCAGGTTGGTATATACTTAAATCTATCGCATTATGTATTTTTTTTTGTCATCAGATTTTCAAAGAAAATTTAAAATCAAGCTTGACCTGATTTTTTTTTTTCTCACTTCAAAAGTTCCTACAAGAGCTATGTGTGTAGCTTTTCTACCTGATATTTCTGTTAAAAAATTTATCAAAAACAGTTGACCAGCATTAATATTGCCTTTTGTGGCCTTTGACAATAAGCAAAATACATACTGCATAGAAAGCTATAAAAGGCCCTGAAATGATAAAATGTAAAACAATTCAAACGAAAATGCTAATGGCCTGGGGCGCTTTTCACAAAAAATCTTACGATTAAAATCGATCTTAAGGTATACTGAAATGTTCATGACTTACGAGTGTTTTTACTCGTAAGTTTTTTTGTGAAAAGAGTTGCTGTTTAAAAGGTTTATATGTTCTGGTAATGAAACACATGTTTCAGTTAACAACTTATTAGTATAAATAGCTGATCAAAATCTCTTCATATACCATAGAAATTCAGATTTTGTTGCCTTTCTCCACTCTGTTTACCAATCAAAGAATCAGGACATAGAAATACAAATTGAAAAGATTGAGAATCAAATATGTTACAGTAAACAAAGATAATGGAAATACATGGGAATGAAATATGTTAGCTGATCAATCTTAAGGGCTTTTGAATCTGCAACTATAATATTTTATGATTTATTACTGAATAAATGGTTTCACATCATTAATTTTCAAATTTTATAATTATGATTTGTCATTGGATCTCACAATTAACAAGATATTAAAAGCCAGTTCATCAACATTGTGAAAATCAAACAGGTAAACATTTCCCATTAAACATTTCAAACTATCACAGAAAAGGTTTTTGCAAAGTTGTTTATGAATTTGCATTTTTTTCTAGTAAACAACTATATGTACTTCTACCTACATACCAAAGTACAAAGTAACAATATATGGTTTATTTAAAAATGTGGACTAAGTACTAATTAGCTACTGTTCTATCTGGGGTGTCTAGGGTTCGCTAGTTAAAGTCTTTGAAGGATGAGGTTCAGGTATCCATTCAAGATTAACAGTTGATTAACAATGATAAACTTTTCAACAAAGTCATCAAAATGTTTTAAACAGAAGATAGCTATCATAAAGATGTAAGGTCATCTTCACACCTTGCAATGAGTTTGCAAATATTTGTAGAATTCATTCCAACTTTTCACATGACTTTCTTATCATATTAGTAAAGTAACAAGATCATAGAAGGAATTTTTGTAATATTTATATCAGAAAATTTAATTCTCACAATAATTTTCTTTTTCCATTTGGCAATCACAGTTCCTCTCATTTACACATTTTGATGTCATCACATATATATTAGCTAAGCAGAATGGTTAAAATCTGAATTTTGGTTGATATTGAGGACATGGATTGTTTATAACCCTGTTGCTGCTGCTAATTTAACATGGTTTCATTTTATGTGCCAAAAAATATGGCAGCTGGATGTCTGTGACATGACATCATATGATATATAACATCACACCCTAATGACGTTACATTGGGGACATATTGAAGAAAAATATTACACTGTATAATCTTTGGTGTTTTAATTAAAGAGATACAGTAATGAACAAGTTCTTAAAAAAATTAAGCATATGGACATGTGTGTCCCTCCTGAACAGCGAGTGTGGACTTAATTTTTATGCAGCCCTCTGAAATTAGAAAAAATAAAAGGATAATGATTTTTTTATAGAAAAAAAAAATATTTAAATTTTTTTCTGGTCAACATTTATGTAAACATCTGACTTTAATCACCAAAATTCATGCATCTCCAATGCAGAGAATGGATTTTTAATTTGAGTTGAGACTATTGATTTGTAAAATATATATGATAATGAAGTTTCACCCTACCTTTGAAATGTGGTAAATGATGTAATAGATGGAATATAAAAAAGGAAGATTTTTTCCCCCTAAACAACCAAAGGCATTACCTTAAATGTTGTAGTGCAATAATTATGCAATGAAATTTTTATAGAAATTGATATTACTTTAATGAAAGTTCTTTATTATGTTTGGGAAATAAATTCAGTTCATTATAACTATATATGCTTGGAAAATTAAAACCATCTGTGTGGCATCTTTCTATTTATTAATTGAATAATTTATTTTCTTTAAATAACACTGAGGATCATAATCCTGATATTATAAAATGATTGATAATTTTACAGTTGTGACTATAATAAAATGCTCAACCTGTTTTGTGGAATGAAAAAGTTTAAAACTGTCTTTGGAACGAAAAAACCTGTTTGATAATGTAATGTTACGGTAATGTAACATACATAAAGTATGCTCAAATGAATAAATTTAAAAGGGAAATGTTTAATAGTTGATTTAAATTTTCAATATATATTAATTGTTGAACTTTGTAGGAATCATAAATTCACATAACATTGTTAACTATAAAAGACACTTAAAAAGTTTCGCCACGCTCAACAATGATAAATGCAGAGGAAAAGAAATCCATGATCGTTATCGAAAAGCGAACTTAGTGCTTGGGTGAAACTTAAAGGATGATTTTACACCCGTATAAGTCTTAAAATAAAAATGGGGAACCACATGAAAAGAATGAAAGGATTTACCATTACAAAATCATTCGCCGAGTAATTTTTGCACAATGGATTTGAAAATAGATATTTTATTACCCTGAGTTGCTGTTTGGCAGATAAATGTTACTGTTCATTTCACAGTTATGTAAGGCATGCAGAGACATTTTTACTGCTATGTCCGTCTGTTTAATTGACTTCTCCATGCTTTTTTTTATAACTATACTGTATAATAATGTATAAAGTACACCAAGTGTGTATCAGTTTACAGTCCAAATCTCTAGGTTTATAAGTTTAATTAGAATTTATGCCAAGGGCATGTTTGAAGGAAGATAAAATGTATTCTCTCAGAAAAGAGTTTTTAAATTTGTAAGATCCTGGAAAAACTCAATCTTCAGAAGTTCTCAATATACATTTCTACTTAGTCATTGCTTGCCTAAAACATCTGAACAAATTGTTAAGCTAGGAAAAAATTAAACCTGATGCACTTTTAATCATTACCTTGTTTAACACCCACAGGTAAACCTTTATTTACAAGATTCTTCGCATTGATGTATAACCATTTTGATAGAACCCAGTCTTACAAATCCTCATGGTTTCATTAATTAAACAGCCACTAACGACAGGAAGTATCAGTAACTCATTAACAAAACAATGCTGTTGCACATTACTTGCATTTTTATAATAAAACAATGTTATAATTGACCTGCGATATTTTCAAAAGAATAACTACAACATATGAACATTTACCTCCATATAATGAGGACAAAAATATCACACCAGGAGGGATATGTTAAGTGCATTTTTTTCTGATAGTTTATTCAGAAAAATCCTGTGATGTTTTGACCAAACAGATGTGTTTTCTTGTAATTTAGGAATATAGTACATTTTTGTGAAAAGATAGATAAAAAATGAAATGAAATTATCTTTTTGAGTGATTATGATCATGATTATACCTTTCTGTCTGTGTAGTTAACATTTTTGAATAAGTGATAATGACTGCTAAATCAACACACATAAAACATTTACAACACATCTTGGTGTTATTTATTCTGCAATAGATGGTCACATCAAATCAGTATCATGTTATGTCTTCAAAAATATATCTACAAATTTAAATCATTGGCGATAATGAAAAAAAATAATAGAAAACAAAATGAAAATGTTTTGGCCTTGCCCATTTTCAAAGAAAGCAATATCTCAAAAAGAAGAACATCCAGGATATGTGTATGTTGCCTTTAGAAAAGGTAGAAGATATTGAAATGAGACATAAATGAAAAAGAATTTCATATTTTTTATTCTAAAGGACATTATTAAGACATTTTACAGCAAAAGTTTGAGACCATAGCTTGAGCTTATCCATCCACTGACACTCTGACTGACATATCTGGCCTTATAGCTAGATTAGCATCATTTATATTATCAGGATTCAGGAGATCTATAATTGGTATATTCACAATTTTGGAAAATGTCTGTTTTCCTCAGATTTTTTTTTTAAACAAATGAATAAAACTAAAATGCAGGCTTATTGAAAACTTGACTTGTATTTGTAGGATGATATGGCTGGTATTGGTAGAGGATGTCCACATCAGAACTTTGGTCAAACATCCTGTATTCGTGGAGGACGAATAGATTCTAGTTGTTGTGTAGACTCACATTTCCAGCAAGCTTGTCATTATAAACCTAACATACATGGTGTTGTATGCTGTAAACTCCCAAGTAAGTAGTCCTTTTTAAAAGTATCTGAAATTTCATCAGTGACCACAGTCTACTACTGTGCAGATTGAAATATATTTACTCCCATGGTCTTGTAATGTTGTTGTCTTTTGTGTATATACTAAAACACTTTTATCAACTTGTATAAAGATTTTACCAATAACATTTTTTTCTCATAATTAAATTCATTTTATTGAAGGTTGTAACTTTGTGCAAAAGAAGTGGGGTTTTCTAATTTTACTGAAACATTAAACTTAAAAAATAAAACCATAAAATTCATATAAGGACAATTTTCATTCCTTCCTGTCAACATCTGCTGTTTTAACTTTGTAAACATAGTTATTGTATGACAAACATGATAATACTGTGTAATTTGTTCCTTTAAATTGGCCGGAACTGATTCAAGAATTTGTCCAGTTTATTTTTTTTAGTGCAATCAAATAAATCTTTTGTTCAGGATCATGTGAAGTAAAGTGACCATAAACTACTAATAAATTAAAATGTTAGCTATGTTCATATTTACATAGTTTTATAAATGAACATAATACACCCACTAATGGAATGACAGATTTACTTCTTTGAACTTCCATGTTAATAAATTACTTGTATTATAAGTTTGAGAGAAACTGTAAATATTGAAAGAAAGATTTTCATAGGTTTAAGTTAAGCAGAGGAATATCTTAAATTTATATTTTATGTAAAAGTTTCATCTAGACACTACAAGTATATCATATAATTACTACATTTAGTACATGTATTTGGTTTTAATATAAACAGTCTAAACGTTTAAACCCGCTGCATTTGTTTGCACCTGTTCTAAGTCAGGAACCTGTTTCAGTGGTTGTCGTTTGTTGATGTGGTTCTTAAGTGTTTCTCGTTTCTCGTTTTTTATATAGATAAGACCGTTGGTTTTCCTGTTTGAATTGTTTTACACTAGTCATTTTGGGGCCCTTTATAACTTGCTGTTCGGTGTGAGCTAAGGCTCCGTGTTGAAGACCGTACTTTGACCTATAATTGTTTACTTTATACACATTGTGACTTGGATGGAGAGTTGTCTCATTGGCACTCATACCACATCTTCTTATTTCTATCATAGTCATTATGATAAAAAAAAAATTCTTCAAGAGAACGATTATTTTCAGTTTTTTATACTCCACCTACAATAGCAGGGTATATTATGATTTCCGGTCTGTCTGTCCAATATCATGTTAAAGTTAAGTTAAGATAGTTTAACATAAGGTTGTGGTCACATCAACTTGAAACTAAGTACACATGCACATTATAATGTGTACTTTTTTTTGCCAAATTAGTGCATTTGGCATGGTTTCCTTGTTTAATTTTCTCTAGTTATTCCTACTCCTCTACAGAACCTTAACTTGTTTAAATGTGAAATCTTGGAAGATGTGCTGATCTATGATAAAATTTTGATTGAAGCTCATTTTGTTTTAAAGGAACATATATTCTCCATGTCTGCCTGTCTCCTTATAAAAGACATACATGGCTTTTTTTCTGATTATAACATTATCTAAACTAACTGTAAACTGCAAATGATGACATATTTCCTATTAATACATAGCAGAAGGGTGCCAATGAATGATGTAGTTTTCTGCCATTATAACATGTTATTGCTTGTAATATGTTTACATAGATCACATGTAATTAATTTGAGTTTACTAACTTTAGATTAAGTATACTGTAATATCCTCATCAATTAATATCATTTCAAGTGGTTTTTTGCATACCACTCTGTAAAAAAGATTGGAGCTAAATACTTTTCTGTCTGCTGTTTTTGCAGACAGGTTATTACAAACTTTTTCTTTTCTTTTCTTTTTTTGTCTTGAACATATGACAGTAGCATGTACTTTGGCAATTATTGTATATTGCCTTAGTGATTTCTATTATAGTAATTGATTGTAAGATGACAACTTTTGTTGTTGTTGGCAAACCTTTTGTTTGGCATTAATAATTTGTTTGTTGCAATTGACAAAGAGGATGTTCAGTTGTAAATAGCACTGTTATTGTTTAAGTCAAAATCAGCAGTTGTCAAAAAGTTTTAATTCTCTGTCTAATCAATCAGCCTAATAATATCTGTATAAGATATATTTGGAGATGAATTATAATGAAATTTTCATAAGCAGTTGGCACTCCTGAGTCTGCTGTATGTATTCATATTTCATGAATAAAAACTAAATTTCAATAGAGTGCAAAATTCAAATTATAAAATTTTATTGTTTGCAATATTTCATAATATCTACCCTAAACCCTTTCATTTCAAGTCTCCTAAAAGAATTTTGTAAACCTTGATATTTCATAATTCATGGTTAAGTATTCTTAGGTGCCATATTAATGTGAACAGGGGGCTCCAAAGAGCCTGTAACATTCAGCTGTATTATGTATAATACCGTTATGTGTGTTCTGCGCCAAAACTTTGTCAAGTTTCATTAGAAGATTTAAATATTGATAAATTATGTTGAACTTTTGAAGAAGAAAGAATAATAGACACCAAGTTTGATGGTCTCTGGTAGATTGTTGTGTCATTGGCAATCATACCACAATCCCAATACTAACATTACAGTAATGTAATGGCAATATAGGACACATAGGTTTTTTTGTCCTAGTTAGCTAAGAAGAAGATGCAGTCTCTCCTAAAAACTTTATATTTCCTTTTGCCGTCTTTCTCAACCTAGATCATCAATCATTATTATGAAATTACCATTTAGAGATATGGCCGGGTCTATCTTGAAAGTCACAGTCACATAGAAGGACAGTACTGAAATCATGTAAAAACATATCTTTTGTACTGTCTTCTTATATCAAAGTACTGTGATACTCATACAATATATTGCAGGAAACATATCTTACTTCATCTATAAACAGATTTTAATCTATCTAGCATAAAATATATCAATCAAACATTTTCCCACTCTCTAAGTCTATTGAAGAATGTCTTGACTTGTTTTACCTATAGTAATAAATCAAACTGACCAGGTCTAGGTTGGCCCATTAATCTTGGCCAATTTATTCAATTATCATCAACAGAATTTTCAAAACTATTAATTAAATCTATACAATGATTCAATGGAACGTAGAAAATTCTTTATAGAGATCATTATCAGAAAAAATGGTTTTTCACAGATTTGATATTTTAAATCTCAAGTTTTTGTTGCAAAGTATTGAATTATACTGGTATTGATAGTAAATGGATTGTTTAATTACTTTCTTTATTTTGTGTTTACTGAAATAACTTTCACATTTTACAAATTAGTTTGACAGAATTTGGTGAAATAAACTTCAACAAGATGTCTGACATAGCTAAAATATTTTTTATTTAACAGCTTCTTTATTTATTTTTTTCTTTGTACTTACAGGCAGAAAGCCCAAAATAGTTGTTAAACCAAAAGCTAAAATAGAAGTAAATACTGGTTTAATTTTCCTGTTAACCTGCCAAGCTACTGGCACACCTGCTCCTAGAGTTCAGTGGTATAAGGATGGTACTCAGATTCCTGACACAAACAACAGAATACAAACATTACCTTCAGGTTAGTAAGACTGACCTGCAGCAGGAAAAAGGGGAGGTCCAAGTGCCTTAGTGGTCCAAAGACTGTAACATATATTAGTCACAATCAGTGGAAAATATATGTTCTCTTTAGATTAGTAGTACATGTATGACTATCAAGCAAATAGAGCTGTACAGTGAAAACTTCTACATTTATTTTTGGATGTAAATAAAAATCATCTCCAAAACAAGGAAAGTTCTATTGGTCTACATGAAATGTGTAATAATTTTTACTACATTCAAAGGATTGGTGTTGGATAGATGTACAGCAATACTTGAAATCATATAAAAATAACACCTATATTTGTTCATATTTATGAACTCTAAACAGTTTGAAAAGCTTTTTCAATCATAAAATAGAAGTCCCTAATATGTTGTTTTTTGTAGTTATTTTTACTGTTTTATTTTATAATACACTTATAGGTGACTTATTAGTAACATTAGCCAAGAAATCTGATACCGGTTTATATAGTTGTGAAGTCATCAATACAGAAGGATTAGATATGGCTAGCTCTCAAGTCATAGTTAGAGGTAAGAGCATTATTATTTACAGAAATACTGTTCTAGGGGAGATAACTGTTTAATTACATTTCCTCAGATTTCACAAAAAAAAGCAATGGCAAATGTAGACACCTGTTAAATTGATTACAACAACCATTTTTTTGTTAAATCAATAGATGTTTAATAGGAAAGGCTTAATAAAAATTGACTGCTGTTAAGTCTTATGATGAGTGTTTTACAAATAGTCTGTGTATATTACCTCCTCCTGATTCTGTGATAAAGTGCAAGCTATTGTAGTATTTGACCACTCTTTTATTGTATTATAGAATACAGTTCAGGATGTAAAGACGGGACAACAGAAGGATTAGATTTACATAGAGATGTACATGCTTGTTCTGGGAAGTGGGAAGGACATGTAAGAAAGGGGAAATCACTCTGTAAGAAAGGTTGGAGAGTATGTAACCCTACAGACAGAGAGGTTTTACACGAGTTAACATGGCTAGATATGTTAGATTTACAGGGATGTTATGCCTATAATGCTGCAATGAGGAAAGGACAATGTAAAAAGTAAGATGCTTCTGTTCATAAACAAATACAAAAGAAATATTGTAAACAAACATTAGATATTCAGTGTATGAATAAAGGGATTTTTTCCCTTTTTTCTTTTTAATAGAAGAGAAATATGCATATTAGGTTCCTTTTGCTTTAAATACTATTAAGGCAGTGGTGTGTTTAGAAGAGTTCATCCTCCTCCCCTCTTTTTATGCTTAATATATCATTTTTATCTTTTTTTATCTTTTTGCTCTTCATAAACATTTAAGATAACATTTATAAACAGAACTCTTGAATTCTTTAAAAAAGTGAATTCCTGTGTTTTGAACATCAAATATTTATTGAAATTTCTAAATTTTAAATGTTATTAAAGATTTGAACAATGGTGTCAAGTAACCTTGTTTTTATAATCTTCACTCTGTTAATATTTTTATTTAATTTTCAGATGTAGGGAAAGAAATATGGCAGGTTTTGGTAGAAATTGTGGTAAATTAAGATACCAACGTAAAAGACAATCATGTTTAGCTACAGGAAGAGTTGATGTTTTTAAAAAGTCAGAATCTTCATCAGGTTGCTTCTATAAAGAAGGTGTTACTTCTGGTGTACTGTGCTGTAAAAGGAAAACTAGAAAATCTAGTAAGTTTATACATGCTTTTTCATTGTCAGTTAAAATTTCTCACGACTTAAATCATATAGTGACACTGAGTCACCTTCTGTTTGATATAAATTTCTAAGTTGGGTGTTGGTGTATATGAATCAAAGAAAATGATATCACAATTAAGTTTTTTTACAAGTATGCTCTATTTTTGTCTTCTAACAGGAAGCAGTGAATAATAACATGAAAATATATACAATATGAACAAAAAAGAGAAAACCCTGAAATGTACTTTATTATTGACAACTAAATGGCAATGTGTGACATCTTGATTTAGAAGTCATTAATAAATTGTGAATATTTAAAAGTATATGATTAATTTCCAATTATTTTATTTTCACAAAATAAATATTACTTTTTCCAGAGAAGAAGCCATCTGCTGTATGCTTGTCTAAATGTTTGAATGGTGGTAAATGTATGGGACATAACTATTGTCAATGTCCTAGTGGCTACAAAGGAGCAGTTTGTCAAATACGTAAGTAAATTTATTTTAAACTATTATTTTTGATGTCCTTGTTTTTTCTCCCAGAAATAAAAAAAAAATCTTTTTTATTGATATGACAGGCTTGAGTTTTATTTTTGTTTATTTGTTTTTTTGGGGGGGTGGTGGGAGGGGGTTATATTTGATATGATTGTAAACATTTGTGCAGCTCCATGACAATCATTTAGTTGACAAAAAATAAGTATAGATTATTATGTTTTCTTCATATAGATATCCTAAAATGACAGCCGTGAGCCACATTATTAAGCCTTTTTATTGAGTTAGCACTGATTATCAGTTTATCCTGTAATTTTAGATATTTTATGTCCCTTACATCATTTTACTCTTGAGGAAAGTAAGCCTGATAAAGCCATACTCTCTCCTATTATAATTTTCACAAAACACAGAAAATATACCGGCAAGTAGTTAATGATACACAGCAACATGACACTGAGGACACTTTATTGATAACATTTTTTTTTTTTATTCAGCTATATGCAAATATGGTTGTGGAGATTTCGGCGAATGCATAAAGCCAGGAGTATGTCAATGTAAAGATGGTTTTACTGGTAAAAACTGTCATAGAAAAGTTTGTAAACAAACATGTCTTAATGGAGGCAGATGTGTGAAGCATAAATGTCGATGTTCTTCAGGGTTTGATGGACGACATTGTCAAAGAAGTAAGTTGAAAAAATCAAACTTCATTGGAACACAATTTTACCCATCATTGCTCTGAAAAGTCAGTATTACCCCTGTGTGTCATTCTGTATAGGTCCTAAATCCAACAGTTGTCTTGTCTTTTATATATATAGGATTTATATAATCATGCTCTGAGAGATAACAGCTGAATTTTGGTTTACAACTTTTTTTAAAGTAAGATCCAGATTGAATATGTGTTTTTAATGACCAATTTTTCACAAAATAACTGTCCTTGCTCCTAGTACTATAAACAATTTCGCAAGATAATTCAGCATCTGTGATTTCCTCTTGCATAACTTCCATAATATTAAAATGATTAATGTATGGCTTGAACTGAAGTTTTCTTAGATCTTGTTGATTATGGTTTTTGAATATTGAATTGAAAGAAAACAGAAAGAGAGAAAAATAACCTACTTGCTTAAATAAAGTGTAAATACTATATACAGCTTTTTTTCTGACTGTAAATGAAAGGAGATGGAGGTAAATGTCAATGAGACAGAAATCCAGCAACTCAAGATATTCAAAATAGACATTATTGTAAAGAATTATGTTATTCATCTGTAAATTGGATTACATTGTATTAATTGATTTACAACTATACTTTTAAAGTTTTTTTTTACTAATTTTAATTTTATTTCTTTTTTAGAATCAATAGTTTTAACAAAATTGAATAGAACAGAGCGATGACAACTTCCAACTGAAACACAAACTCCAAACACTGCCAAGTTGTGATGATATTCTGTGATTGTAAAAACAGTGAATGAATTTTGCATAATAAACTTGTTTTGGTGCCATGACCCAAGGATGCCATTCAGTTCTACAGAAAATGACTGAACAAAACTACCGGTACAGCTGTATAGAAACTAAGATAGAGGAGATTTAGATTCGAAATTGAAACAATATTTTGTTAGTGACATTACAAAAACTCAGTATACCAAAAATAAAGCCGCTCCATATATTGTCAATAATCAAAAACTTGCCATTTCCATACTACAATGTAGTGATTTATAATGAACTACTATGAGTGAAAGTATGTTACTTCAAGGATGGCATGTAGTGGCTATTGAATTCCATCATTAATATTGCTTTTGGTAACATGTTTTGTATTTTTGCTATTTATCACAAAACCTACAAAATTGGTAAAAACAAATATTAGTATCACTTTGTATACATAATTCTAATATTTTCTTATAACTCTTTTGATTGAAATAATATTATGATGTCCTGAAAATTGTTGCATAGCTTTCCGTATTGTTTGTTTTGTTGGTAAATGTTATTTATATAGTAGCTGGTTGTGAAATCCAATGTTAGCCTTTTTTTAAAAGTTGTATTTAGTAGTACCATTTCTGTTTTAAAGAATGGTTCAGAATACATCCAAGTAACCAATATGACTTAGGCATAATAAGCAGAATTATTTTCCAAGAGTAGAGAGAGAAAAAGCTTGTATATTTCTCCAAAACTTAATAAAAACTCTATTGTGTCTAACTAAAATATACAAATAAATAGTTATATGATATCATGGTAGAAACTGTGCAATCAGAACAAGAGTAGAAATGTATTTGTCAGTAATAAGCATAGTAATCACCTCTTTACTGAAAACTGGTGATACAGGGTTTCATTTTCCCCCTATAACTGTATGATTCATCCCCTAATAATAAGTGAAGAAATTGTAACATTGTAGTTTTTATCAGTTCTATATTTGGTCTACTAGGAAGCACTGCACTTGAAAGTTAAGGAAATAAAATTTGTTGTGTTGTTATAGAATTTGTTATAGATGTTGTTTATATTATTTTTTCATCACATTGTTGTCATTCATTTGTAAATAAACATTTTTTGTATTTTATTTGTTATGTAAGTACATTTGTAAATTTGTAAATTTGTAAATACACCTATTTAAACACCACATGTACAAATGTATGTAATTTTAGAATCTGCATTTTGTAAAATATTCTGAGTGTTCATTTAGTTTTACTAAAATATTATTTGTGCCAAATTGTTTTTCCAAAAATGCTATCAAATAAACTTTCACAAAAATATAAAGCCCTTTTTATTGAAAATAATTGTTTGCTTCAAATTCTTTAATCTGAAACATGGTAATATTTTTTCTTAGGTTCCATAAGAAAACCTCAAATGCACAAATAGTGTAAATAAATCCTCATTATAATTTTTTTTATGGCATCACACTGAAAATTGTTAGAAGTTTTGTTTTTTTGGCATTTAGAAGCAGAAAAAATCTGGACTTTTTCAAAGCTTGCATAATAAACCTGATTAATGCATTAAAGTGCTCACATACATTTTTATTAGACCTTAGGATTGTAATGCTCAAGTGGAACTACCTCAATAGTTTTTAAGGTTGTTATGTTACATGATAGAATTTTTAGACTTTCAGGATTGTGGATTGTAACTTGTAAAATCTGCAAAATCTGCAAAATGATTTTTTCAGTTTAGCCTTACTGTTGAAGTTTTGTCCATATTTTAAGCAATATACAGAATGTTTACAGCCTCTTGATAAAAAATCTTCCTGTTTCACGATATATTGACCTGACTTTAAGTTGAAAGGTCATATAAAAGGTTAGATATCATGATTTTTAACTGAATAGTGTAATTGTATGGTAAATTGCAAATAATTGGTCTAGATATTTAATGAAGTTAGCAAATTTAATGTAGAAATGGAATTTCTCTTTAGGGACTTTTTATTGAATTAACAAATTTTTATGATTTTATCTTATGGTAACATATTTTTTTTAAATGTTTTCATTGATTCAAAATTTTAAAACATCTTTATACCATCTAACTTGATATTCAAATAAGAAATTTTTATTATAATATGATTCCAATTTGATTTTAAACATGATTTTCATAGCTCTTGTCATTTCAAATGTGTACATGTTTTCTATTTAATAGATTGCTGTTTGTAGTAAAGTACTAGTGGAGAAAAAAATCATGGACACATAACAAATTGAATTTGAAACCCCAATACTTGTGGTAGCAAAGGTTTAGATACTTTTAAGTTTACTCAAACACAATACATATGTCTGCTCAAATGCATCACAAAAAAATATATAATTATGGTAAAGCACCTGCATTTTAACATACATGTTAACCAGGAATTGGCACTCTGAAAATAGGTTACTCGTATGTTATTGAAGTTCAAAACATGCATCCATAGTAAAGGAGAAGGTCCGGCAAGGGCTTATTTTGGCCTAAAATTTGAAGTACATCTGATGAAAGGTTTTTGACATTTTATAAACACTTAAGGTTCTACTTCAGTCGATTCAGTTAGGTTTTGTAAAATATTTGAACTGATTTGGTCTTTGAAGACGTTCAAATTCAAGCTTAGATATGACAAATCTATCAAATATGCAACAAAACGTCACTTTTCAGATGGTTTTTGTCTAAAATGGAAGTGGCTGCAATCGTATTCAGTCTCAATCTTTATATATGTTATGTATTATTATCAAATTCAACATATATTTAAATATTAAGACTGAACACAAGTGCGGTCACTTCCATTTTACACAAAAACCGTCTAAAAATTAGCACAAATTTTGAAATTGTGAAGATTTTAGTAATTTTGTATGAATTAGTGATGCTAGTACCTGATGCATGTGCATTGTATTGTCAAAAAACAGCCCATATTTATGTAACAAAAGTATTCTACTTTCCACTAAATAGCTATAAGTTTTCATTTTTAACAAATTTTTAAAATGATATATTTTGGGCCAAAAAGGGATCTTACCGGGCCTACTCCTTTAAATTGAAATTTGTGAGTGCCATTCTTTAGTGAATAATATTTAAATGGAAGTGTCGTTGCTTAATATTATCTGCATCCAAATTTTGGTTTTTGATGTGTTAACTTATCAGAATTGATGTTACAATAAACAAAACCTTTGAATTTTACTTATAAAACCTTTACCACTTACTCAAGAGAAAGTATGAATCTTGTTTGAATTTTGATGTTGAGAGTTATTACAATCCCTCTGTTCCCATAACACCAATATCAAAATAGTTTTGTGACTCTTATTTCAGGACTAACTGATGATGAAAAATATATAAAAGGTTTTTGCTTAATTGCTTCTCTAGAAATAAGCAATTATATGCACAAATATCAACACTGTTATAATTGTTACTATAAAGCATATCAATATAAGTTCTAAAATAACTGGTAATTCATTGAGATCATTGTCAAATTATTTGTTGTAAAATAAAATGTTAGTCCCAATTAATAATGCATTTGTTGTATAGATTTCTACATGTGTTTATATATGTTGACAATTGTTATATATTTTTATGAGAAAAAAGCCAGTGGTTACAATAAAACATAATGTTACTTTGATATATTGTTTTTTTTTTCTTTTATCCTAGATGACATGGTTGAATTGTTGTTGTGACGTAATAATAAGGATTATTTTGAAATCAAAATTTCCCTCATGAATTATTAATGGATAAATTTCATGACAGTTGAGATGCCAAAAATATTTATCACCCCTGGTTTTTGCAGTCTACATGGGAAATATCACTGGAGTTACCTCCCCTTTCATTCAATTAACATGTACTTTAAAAAAAATTTACAAGTCAGTGGTGTTATAAGTAAACAATAACCTAAACTAGTCAATTGCTACGGGCCATATTTCACCTTGATATGGTAGAGATAGTTTAACTGACATCTTATGATTTCAAGTGTATTGTAAAATCACTTATTATACACAAAATATATTGTTAGCCTCTCACTGATGGAAAAGAATGGATATGTTGTGTTTATTCCAGGCACAAAATCACAACACACATTTGACAAAACCTCAAGTAAAGGCACAGCACTTGTTTTGCTGTTCTTCATCCCCAAAAAGTAAGGATAAGTGGTAAGATTGCCAATGAGAAAACATTCCACCAAAAACCAAGACAACGATGTGAACAACACAGGTCAAAATACACCCTTCAAAATGAGAAAGTTATATACTGAAAATTCAGAAATTATTGTGTGCATTTATTATTGCGATTTTGTCATTTTAGACTAAAATGCGATTTTAAGTTTTGCGATATTGAGAAAAACCCTGTTTAATTCATATAAAAAATTTCAAATTGCAAGTTTAAATTATTGTGATTATAACCCTGTCACATTTTTTGCAATAATAAAAACATCGCAATAATTTCTGAATTTACAGTACCATATGAAAGGCCATTGATGACTAAATAAAATCAATTCACAAGAGAAAACCAGCAACCTGAAAACAATAAAAAAAAATTATGGCAGTAACCTATGACAACCACAGGTTACAGGCTCTTGGCTTGGTCCATGTTATACATTTATAAACAAAATAAATAAAGAATGTGTCGATGGGACACAGATAATGCCCTCACTTGCATATAACGTTATAAAGTGACATAACTAGAGAACTGTAAAAGTGATGCCACCCAAATTGGAACTTGATCTAATGTTTTATGGTAATAAGCATTGTGTAGAAGCTTCATAACATTTGGTTTAGGCAACCTAAAGTTAGATAATGGAAACAAAAAATTCAGCAATTTTTCCATTTATAAAGGGCATAACTCAAGAATGGTAAAAGTGATGCCACCCAAATTCAAACTTGATCCAAGTTTTGTGGTAATAAGCATCGTGTATAAGTTTCAGAACATTTGTTGAGGCAAAGGAATGTTGAGAGTGCAGAAATGAAAAATTCAGCATATTTTTTCATTTATAAAGGGACATAACTCCAGAACGGTAAAAGTGATGACACCCAATTTTAAGCTTGATCTGTGTTTAGGTGATAATAATCTTAGTGTACAAGTTTCGTAACATTTGGTCTAGGGAAACTCAAGTTATAGAACGGAACCCAATTTCGGGAAGTACGGACAAGGATAAACCTTAATGCCCCCTCTGCTACGGCAGGGGCATAAAAAACCCAAATAAATGTAAAATTCTCTACCATCTTTGAAATGTCAAAAAGCACAATAGAAATTGGCCCAATAGCAGCATTACATAATGATCAGCTAGTGAAAGCTTACTCAAAAGACTTTCTTTGATGAAATAATTAATAGTTTAACATTTAAACAATTATATATTCAATTAATGCATTACTTGGTTTGCAGACTAGGGATAGCTAATGGTACTGTCCAAACCATTTAACTTTGTACACATAGTCACACTGTTCCATTCATGTTATATAAGCTATTCTAAAAGTTGAAATGAAATAAATTTGTATTGGTTAAGCAGATGGATATCTGTAATTCGTCATCTATAGACCTCTTTCTTCACCTTGGAAATGCAAGTCTGATTTATTTGTCTTGCAACTGATCAGTTCCATTCAAATTCTATCAAAAGTCATTGAAAATACTTGTTGTTGCACATTAAAAATACAGAGGTCATGTAATGTCAGTAGCTCATACAAACCATGAGATTAGGAAAAGATCCAATCAACTACCATGTTTGTCTAGTTCTTAGCACTCGTACTCAATCTCTATTTGTACAACTTTATATGACTGCATTACAAGTATTTGCATTGATATGAAAGGCAATCAAATATGAATATTCAAAAGGTATTGCCATCTATATTTCATATAGACACAAACATATTTCAAAGAGCATCAAAACGTCCATCTGTTTCAAATTCAACAGACACTCTGTTAAAATTTCTAGCTGAGATGGAACATAGAGGTTTCTGGCTGATTCTTTTTTAATCTTTTGTCCAAGTGATAACAAATTTTGTCTGTAATGGCCCATGGGTTAAAGAAAACTTGTATGATTTTGAGGTCACTAAGGTCAAATATCAAGGTCACAGCAGCAATTGGGCCAAAAAGCAGTCTTACCTCTTTCAGATGATAATCTGACACAAGAGTAAGTGGTGTAATTATAAAAAGATAAATATCTGGTTTATTCTTTATTAAATTATGGAATGGAATTAATGTAATCATCTCTTCTAAACACTATGATGATATGAAAAGTTGTAAAGTTTCAATATAAAAATATTATATAAAATATGTCCAAGTAAATTTGATATGCTCAGAAATGTACATACAATTATGAATATAAATGGAATGTAAACTTGATATGTTTCAATCACACAACCACTTAAAATCACTTTTGGAATTTGAAAAATATAAAATGAGTGCGACAGTAAATGCTTAAAAAGAAATTCCTATTGATTCATTAAAATATTGATAACAACTCATGTCTAACTTAATTCTGTGGTGTGATACATAGTTTTATTCAACTCCCATAAAGTATAAAACAACCTTTTTATGAGTTCATTTTGGGATGGCACAAACCACCAACTTTCAACAAAATAAAATATTTGTGGAGGAGAAAGTAAAAAACTGAATGCTCAGTAGAGAGATTTTTTTGTTATGGATTTGTGAACAATTTCTTTCTTTCATATGCAGAAAAAATATTAACTGTGGCTTGTCTTTCCCTCTTTTTATTTTTTTAAACAAAGGGAATTTTTTAAGTGTATAATAAGACTTAAATTTTATAATGTTCTAGATAGAATCCAGTGTAAATATTTTGTCAGGATCTCACCAATATGAGAAATTGATATTTACATATAAAAAAGTAATAAATGGGAGAAAGGCATAAGCTCACTGACAAGTGTGATCTATTTTCAACTGGATTTCATTATATTTTTATGAAAGCTTCTTTTACAATACAGGCACTTTTCTAAATATGTCTTCTTCATAAAAATATTCAAAACTTAAATTTGTAAGCTAAAAACAAAGGCTACATTTATGATATCATTTTAACACACCCTCTTATTAAGAATAAAACTTCTGTACAGTAACAATGGAATAAAATTTAACCATATCATTCACAACCATTCACTGTTCTGGTATACATAAAAACAGACATGGCACTTCTTGATATATTAATGATGTAGATTAAACAGGTATATATATACACTTTTTCAGTCTTATTTACAAATTAGGTCCTTGTGTGCTTGGAGTTGTCTTACTTTAAATCTGTCTTATTTATTTCATTTATCCAAAATCTTACTTACATAACTGGATTTTATATATTCTTATAATATAGGTTCATAGATTATTAAAAGCTTTCAATGTTTCAGTGACATGATGTCATTATCAGAACTTATACTAAACATCCATAAGACATGGTATTAAACAGAGAAATCATTTATTGTAACTATATTGCCTGTGGTGTTCTGAAAGTCTACATGTTTTTCACCATAAAAAATTTCATACTAGATTTTGTAAGAATTATTGACAATATGAATAAATGAGAACAGAATCTTTTCAGACATTTACATAAAGGGGACAACACATAGTTTATACAAGTACATACACATTATCTACAAATTTTACATTAAAAAAATATATACATTTTTATAAAAATTACTTAACATTATTACAAAGATTTTAAAAAATTATTCAAATATCAAAAATGTTGCTACTTAAATTTTATCATCTTATAAATGATAAATGATTGAAATTAAGATTTGTTCTTTCCAAAATAATAGAAGACATGCATGGGTTTTATATTTTCAATTCTGGTCTGCCACAAGAAATGAAGATTCATCATAATAACAAAATAATTGTGCATTGACTGCAATTTAACATTTATTTATATATACTCCATGCACAAACAAAAGAAATTAGTTTTCATATCAATTAAAGTTTAAAATAACTTCTAAATATGCATAGTTATTTCCCAAACAGATTGCAGTAGATTACAATATATACATCCTGGTCATGATATTTACAAATGATGTTGATTTCTGTCACCTCACATGTCAATCATACAAAGATCCTTATTATGCTAATAACAGTTATCAGATACACAGGAATTAGACTTGTCTTTGGTGCACTTCCTACTGCTACACATGTAAATTTCTGTAACCTTTCTGCTTGCACTATGAAGTCACGCCCGAGGTAGGATGAAAAAGTGTTACGGCTATCAGGCACCCTAATAAGTCGAACTGTATCATCTGTAAACATGAGATCGTTGTACCAGGTACCAGAGTCAAACATGTGGAAATCTCCCTCACTGAGAATAAAAAAATACAAGAAATTCATAATTATATGCATATATTTGGTAAAGCTAATTAAGCGGATATGTTTGGCGTAAGATAGGCAAAATTATCCACAATAAATTGACCACCAGTAGTCTCTTCTTTATGTTTACTTGTGTTATTAGGTTGCTGTCTCATTAGTATTTACCTTACATCTACTCTTATTTCCACCTTTCATATTTCTTAATTGTTTGATTTCTTATAAAATAGTGAAACTGGAGATCAATGAACTGATATTTCTTTTTTGGCAAACATTTTTGTGTAAACTAAAGTTACTCCTCCCCTTATATTTTTCCTCCCTACTTGTGTAGACAATATCCCTTTCTTAAGGGTGCAGTGTTAGAATCAAAAGTCTGCTATTATCAAGGAGGCTAAAATACTTCCTGAAGAAGAGCTTTTGTATAAAATCAAATAAAATTTTGTATAATCATGACCACAAAAAATTAAGTATACACTTACGTATCTGAGGAGAAAAACTGCTGTCCATAATTCAACAGCTGCCAATATATGTTTACATCCTCCTCTGACTTGTGTTCTGAAAGTAAGTGAAAAATTACAGAACTATCATATATAGAAACATTTAACTTTCATCTGATATAATCAATCTCTGAAAATGTTTTGGGCAACATAATTTTCAAATAACTCATTTGGGAATTTTATTTCTTCAATTAATATACAGCAATAATCTTCAACTTCCATATGAGGAGTATGTTTTTGAGTATTTTCTAATTTTATCTTTCCTGTTAAATTTTTCACATAAATTTCTAATATGTACAAAATTTGATACATCAAAAACTTAACCATCTAGAGCTGGGTAATAATTTTGAAAGAAGACAAAACAATCATACAATTTGCACCTTATTGTTTTTAAAGTTCTGCATTTTTAGGTGCTGTATATCATACAAAGTTTTGACTCAGAGGTAACATAAACATCTGTAATTGATGGTTAAAAATGGGTTTTATTTAATAATGGTCCTTACTCATTGCCTAGAGAAGGCCTGTTTGAAATCAAGAACTAATCTGGTGATATGAGATTTTTACTTGCTGACTAGTGAAATTTACACATCATCCAATCAATGTAACTAAATTACATAACATACTTCCTGTAACAACAGCATTAGAAGGCAATTTGCCCAAGTGACAAGTTCTCCATTCATCAATAGGTTTACGTGTTCCATCTTTACACATCAACTCATAATCATCAGATCTTCTGTTTCTGGCCCAGATGGCATGATTTCGTGCATCAGTATTGTCTCTTACAGTCAAATGTCTCACAAACGCTACATCTCCTCCATCTAGAAAATAATTATATTATTATGTATAATTGTGAAATTAAATTTCATACTATACTTTGTAATTTCTGCATTTTCCTGACCTTATGAAACTTGTCCTTTGCAATTGACTATGAATGTTTAATCTCTTCTAGAGTAATGAATTTGGTGGAAAAAATTTTCTTCATGGTAACTTTTGTATGTCCTGATCAACTTTTCCTGAAATCCTTGCAATGTGAGCGGAATTTTGAACAATCAAATCAAATTCACTCAGATTGAAATAAACCAACTCTTGCTTCATTACTGCATTGTTGTCCTTGTTCTAAAAGAGAACTCTTCTGCTCTGAAATTCTTAATGTATCACAGATCAAATCCTGAATTTTAACAGTTGCCTTTGTATTCAAAGTGTAAACAAGCTTGAAATACAGCAATTTATAGAAATTTTATCATTCTCAAACATAAAACTTGATACATACTTTCTACAAGACAACGGAAAGCTCCTGTGGCACCATAATACTGTTCTATCTGATTCCTCTGACACTTTTTGTAGCCACCAGCAGCACATGCTTCACATAAGCTTATAGGATACTGGTTAGGATTGTACTCAGAATCCAGTGCTCCTGGTATGCATGTTCTAATAAACAGCTGACCTGGAATTGTAATCAAAAGTATTTAAAAAATTTAACCGCATTACAAAGCTTACAATTAAGTATTTTAACATTTGGTGAAATACTGTTTTTATATCTGTAATGAAAATCAGAAAATTCTGCAACATTGCATCAGGAAATAACATATTTAGGAAATCAAAGGATACGTTTTCTCTAATTCTCCATGCATTTAAATCACTTCTATCCAGTTGCAAATATTTCCGATAAACCACATGCTGATGAAATCGTCGTTTGTTATTTTCTGCCAATTATTTTCTGAATGTTATACTCTTTTAGTTTCTCATTAAACCTTTAGAGACATAGTATACCATTTTATTTCATTCTTTATGTTAGTAATCCAATTTTGTTAGTTGAATTGTTAAATGTTCAACCAGCTTAATAATCATCATTTCAATTGAATGTGACATTCTAATTTGATGTACAATTTTGCAACAAAACAACAAGGAATTAAAAATGTTCACAAGAGGAGTGCACTAAATGTTTCCTTAAAGTAATTTTCAACTAAGTATATTTGAAATGGAGCATAAAAATAAAATAATTGCAGCATTTTGAGTTTGTAATTCTGTTCATTTGAATTCTAATTTTCAACAGACCATTTCATTTAGGCACATATTGCATACATATGCAATTTCATGGGGGAAAAAGAAACATTTGCAGTGTTTCTGATTCCTGACAACCCTTTTTTCTCTAACAAATGTTTTTGGTACTAAATGTACATATAAATTGGTTTGACCACTAGATAGTATATCTTGTCATTGGGTTGCTGTCACTTTGACATATATCACAATTTTTTTTCATATTGTATAAGGCTTTCTTGTGTGCATTATAGTTGATTTACAGGATGAAACATTACCAAAAAAATCTTCAATGGAAAAAAAAACTTTTCTATCAACTATGTTTAAATCAATTCCTTTCATTTCAATAATATTCCATATTCATATAAATAAAGCATTTTTATTAAAATATAACCCTCTAAACCTATCCTACTAAGAATAAGCTAATTGCTTTTATAAAATGAAAAGCTTAAATTCTTTTATGACAGAATTTTAAATATCTTGTTCAAAAATATTTTTAAACGACTAGGATACATACCAATATTTTCAAATATACTACAGTACTGTGGAACAAACTGTTCTGTTTCTATAAATATACTGACAGGAACAATCCATCCATCACCTCTACCCATTCCTGCCATACAGGCTCTCTTGTCTACAAATAGTTAATTACAATTATCTACACCTCAAACACAAAGTTTTATTTAACTAAAAACAGGTTTTACATGTATACCATGTCACACTGTTTTTTTCATGCAGGTCAATTTGAGCCCTTTGATTTTAAATATGTATGTCTTTCTGTTGAAACAAACAATAAATTAAACACAGTTTTTCAGAACAAAATTCTCAAAACTGTAGCATATTTCAATAAAAAATACTCATAGCAATAAAACATTTTCATCAACCTAAAAATTACCTACAACGTTATCACAATGTTGTCAACCAATCAATGTTTTACAGTTGATCTTTTTTTTGCATAAAGTTTTTCAAGTACATACCTTTAAGGTTAAACAAGGTCATGGTAGGATTTCTTTTCCAGGCTGCAGCCACAACATAAAAGGAGGCATCCATATTTCCATAATCCTCTGCTGCTATAGGTTTTAAACCATATTTTCTAAAAATACAAACACAAGTCAAAATCGTGTTCTTAGAAATTTGTGCTGCATACCTGATATCAGGCCATGTTTGATTTGAGTCATACTGTAGGCAAATATTTGTTTTTTGGGTTGTTTATAGTTTATTTGAAACTGACACACTTCATAAAAGCAACTATACTTCAAAGGACATTTAACATTCCACAATGGAACAATTCATTTATAATCCAATGTGCAGTTGCTTTTAAAATAATACAAATCTATAATTGTTTCCTAAAGCCAAAGAAACAAATGGCAAAAATCATGATTGTTATATTGCTAAATCTCTCAAACTTAATTTTAAAAGGCCAAAAAGTACATCGCATGATTTTACACCAAAAAGCATTTTGAATATACATACTCTCCTGCTAAATAAACATCTCCAGAATCTAATGTCATCATATCTGCATCCCCGTCAGCAATCAGCTGCATACAATGGTCTGCACTTTTACCCAATACACAATCCAGCTTTGGCTTCAAATCTTTAGCTCCAAATGCCATCATCATGTTCTCACATTTAGCCTTCTCACCACCAGAGATCACACACCATTTAGCATAGTTCAATGGGCATTGGTTCAACTTTTCAATATTGTCATAAAACTTGGCATCTAGTGTAAATAAACAGAATTAAATAAACTGCAATATATATTAAAATCATAAATACACTTATCAACAAAGACGATATTTTAAAAGTATTTCTAAATGCAGGACAACAGTTAAGAAACGTTGCATTTACAGCTATCTATTGACTTCCTTCAAATATAAGTAATAGGCTAATAAAATTACAACCCCAAATGATTTTTTTTTCAGGACACAGGAGGTAAATAAAACAATTCTAGACCGTGATCTCATACAACAACTGTATCCTTTGACCCTTAGATCTAAACTGTTCCCTGCAAATTTTGGCTTTTACAATTTGGTCTTCAGGTCAAACAAAGCAGATGTAGATGTTGTTCAAGAATCAATAACTGTATCCGTTCATCTTTTTTCTTTTAAACATGGCATTGTCGGCCTTTTTTTAACTGGGTTTTTTTTTATTGTCCACTATGGTTTCTTCTACTTTTTTCTAGTTATATATTCTATCATCGATATGTACTGCAGTAATCAGATAAATATCTAGTTTTATGGCACTGCAAACCTAAAGGAGGTAATTTAAATTTACTCACCAACCCATTTGTAATATGTGTCTTTGTCTCCTACATCTACTAGTTCCTGGGTTGTGTCTGTAAAAAGTAAGTTTCTCTGACCTCCGTATCCAAGCCATGAATCAGAACTAAACATGTTAAATAAGCTTACGTATGGTTTTCCTACACCAAACCATTCTGATGCTTGCAGTAGAAATTGTTTATAAGCAGCTCTAGTTTGTATGTCTTTTAATGCTGATGTCATGATTGTGTTTGCAGGAATACTTCCATAATTACAATTCTTGTAGTCTTGAATGTCTCTTGTCCCACCATTAGGACATAATAAGACAAATTCCTGAAATATGAGAACAGATTTGAATTTAATTTAATTATACCAAAATAAAATTCATTATACATTTTTAAACTTTTAAATAAGGAGCACCTATCTATTTGCACCTCACATGCCATCTTCCTTAAGTGCATCTATGTCACTGTTGCTGAATAATAAATAAACTGCAAATTAAACAAATTTGTCAGGAAGGATCAAAGCCTTTTTACTGTATCAATAAACAAAACAGGTTCATTTTACAAAAGACAGCAACTACTGAAATACTATTTTCACTACTGTTGACTTTTTCTGCTGTTTACTTTTAACTGTATTGTCACTTTTCTTTATTACAGATGGGAAACTAATCGGCATCAGTATATAGTCAATACTTCTTTGTGACAGCAAGTGGCATGTGTCTTTGGATAAATGTTTAAAATATTACATTCATGATCATTGGACAAAATAAAGTATAGAGATGAAAACTCTGTATAAATTTGCTATACAGTAAAGTACTTATGCTTCCAATATAATGAGTAAAAAAATACTTAGTTGTAAATGTGACAGCTAAGAATGATAAATGACGGTGAGGATTAATAATATGAAATGACATTTACAGTCTTACAGTATATAGGTTGGACCTTGCATTTGTCAATTTTGGGTCTACAGGCCAGTTTAATTTTGAGCTCTGGCAAATTACATCACATTTAAACATGCTAAAAGCATTCAATTACAAAAGTAAATTTCAAAATGTTACTTACAGAGGAAGCATTGTTTGTTAAATGTATCAAAGTATCATGACGAAGGAAAGCTACATCTCCATCACCATTCTGTAAACAACGGAAAGCACCATCATATCCAGCACTGGGATCTTTTGTAGAACATTTAGTTCCAGATGTTCCTTTACATAGCTGACAAATCTCTGTTGGATTGTTACCTGAAAGATCACAATTTTAAAAGTTTTGTAAATCAGTAATTCATAACTTCACATAATACAAAGAAATCACATGACACACTTCTGTCTTCCTATTTTTTATTTTTTTTTAGGTATCACTTTTTCACGAGTTTCTATTTATTGAACTCAGAGGCAAACTTGGATTATTTCCTGCAAGGAAATGCAATATGACTTCATAAGAACTATCAATTTCTACCATAAACTTACATTTTTTTGGAAAATATAGTAGATGTAGTACATTTTTTTATGTATGTTCAAAGGTTGGGTCATCTGCAATATTTTTTATAAAAGGAATCCAAACTGGAAAACTTACTGATTGCATGGAGTTTGAAAATGCATCTAAGTATTTTATTTCCTATGTTCTATTCCTAATATTGTCAACCTGTTCCTGTCTTTGTCCTTTGCCTACCTAATGGATAATTGTCTCATTGGCAATCATCACATCTCCTTATTCGTATGATGTTGATAGTTTTAATTCAAATTTGCTGAGCAGTATTGAAGATCTTTTTTTCAAACAATGAAGATAACCCATAAGAACTGGAACAAATGTACTAGCAGAGCTTACACATAAAGTTTCACTGCAATATAGAGTTTAGTCAAAATTGACTGACTAGGTTCAGAAAAATGCAAATAAATATAAATATGACAGAGCTAATCATAGTTTATGCAAAACAAAGCATTCATACATATTTCTTATCCAAAAATTTTGGTTTTAACAGTATGAATGCTTTTATATTATTGATTTGTTAATTACCAACATGGTGATAACTAATAAATGGTGCATTAATTTACTGTCACGGGTAAGGGCACATGAAATCTGGGGTTTATTTTTGTCTTGGTTGAATCTAAATTAATTTGATCTTCCAAAATTCAAAAATATCAATCGAACTGTTGCCAAATAACAGCTAAACCCTAGCAGTACCTACCAAATGGATTATAGAAAGAAGTAAGAGCTCCAGGTAAACACATGTTATGGAAGAAATCTGTCACAGCCTTCACCACAGCATTACATTCTGTCACTTTAATATCACCATTCTGTAACATTACACTGATAGGGTATAGCCACCCTGCTGCTGTTCCAATACCTTTAATATAAAATTTTACAATTTTGTATCATTTTTTTTAAGATAAAGCCCTGGTTCCTTTTACTACAATAAACATGTCATTAGATTGTTCTGTGCTTGTAACCATCTTAAATGTTATATAATTTCTTGATTTATCTGTGATAAAAAAAAATTCTATTTTCATTAGAAAAAGGGTCATGTATACACAAAATGACTGTAAATCATTATTTAATCACCAGCAATCAATCTTCATCATTATTGATTCTTTATTTCTTATAAAACCAAGTAAATGGTACAAAGAAGACATTTTTACATATAATTACATACAGATTCTGTGCATGACAAGTTTGTACAAAACGAGCATAAAAAGAAGAGATCGATGATCACCCTGGAGAACATACCTCTGTATTGATAATTCTGATTAATTTACACAAATTTTTCAATACCAGAATATTTTTTATATATATGAAACAAATAAACTGCCGAATTTCAAAACATTTACTCAGCTAACATAAGTAAGGTTTAAGAAAAGCTCTTCTACTTTCTGTTAGAGCTGTACAGTTTAGAATATAGTGAAATTCATCACCTATCTCTCGAGAATTACAAAGTACATTACATTACGATTGCCCATAATTACAAAGAGTCATATTAAACTTAAAATTACCTCGAGTGTACAATAGAATCACTACTGCCGGTGAGTTTGCAAGACTAACAAAGAAAGAAATATCCAAAACAATATTCAGAATTTTTTACTTTATAAAATGGCTCTGTGGTCCTAGGGCAAAGAATATTTCTTAAGGGTCTATATGAAATATGTTGAAATGGGCCATTATAAAATGTAACCAAATCTTATCAGAGCTTACCTGGAAAACAAGCATTACTGCCCAACAGTCCATTCCCTAATTGTGTGCCAGTACCTGCACCACTTCCATAAATACTATTTCTCCTAACTACTGCTACAGAATAATAGTTCATACCATCATCACCTGGAAAAAAAACCTGATATGTGAGTATCATAAACGAAGTACAATTATCATAAATCATGATTGAGTACTAAATCACTTGTTCACAATTTACACTTACAAAAAACATGTTTTTCTCTTATGAAAGAGAGATCAAAAGAGATGTGGGGGTAAAGGTTAATAGTTCTGGGCCCGTATGCATAAAGCTACTTAAGTTAAGATATCCAATCGTAAAACTAATTTATCGTAGGACATGTAGAAAAATCTGTCCGTTCGGAACAAATCTTAACTTAAGTAGCTTTATGCATACGGGCCCTGACCTTTATGGAATTAGTTTTCTGCAGTGATTATGAAAAGTAGAAATGTATATGCAGTCAAGGGACATATTTTCTTTGTAGAAAAACTGAATATGTACCTGCAGTTGCTGCATATTTTTCTGCTACTATAGGCTGCATATTATGATATCTCCCAGCAAAATAACCTTGACCTGTATCTAATGCCATCATGTCAGCATTCCCATCCTGGATCATCTTCATACATTCAAATCTGTTAAATTAATAAATTATTCAAATAATGAATATTTGCCATTTTCATTCAATTTCAAGATTCATCTTCAGAATGAATCTATACAAAAAAAGGTGTTGCATCATGGGTACTTTATTATGAACTTTTTACAGCTTTAATGAGAATGATGAAGCTGTGTAATATAAATTCAAAGACAGGTGAATATCTGAATTGGTCCATTGGCATTATGGACTAAGATTTGCCACTACAATGTATCTAAAAATACAAACTGAAGTCTGAAGGTGGCAAAGTGCTTATTTTATATAGTACACCACATCATACAAAAATGAAATTTACTTATTATTACTTAAATTCCAACTTACACAATGTACAAGCTTATACAACACACAATAGGTGATCAGTAAAGGACCTTATATCCATCTCTCTGTCATTTAATGAATGACTGTAAAAACATGTTTATTGATGATTTAAGGTGAAAACACCAACAGAGATATTACAGAGTAAATCACCCACATCTACAAATGTTCAGTGAGAATGCACTAGCAAGAGTAAATTTTAAATTAAACTGAATCACTGCATGTATACTGTATTTACAAAGACTCAGTCAAATAAAAATATGAAAACAACACATTATAAATTTCATGCGTCCAATTTCCCGAAGATTCTATACTACGTAGATGAAACTGCTAATTTTGTAAAACTTACGTGTCAAATCCAACCACACATGAAAAATCAGGAATGACTTTGTTAATATCTGCATTTTTTATGGTTGTACTCTTGAGCGTGTTCTGAAAATTTTGACATTTTGCTTTCTCCGCATCAGTCGACACGCACCACCTTAAAACTGCAAAAAGTAAAGATTTACAATTAATGCAATGACTATTGAGCATGTTAATTGGCTTGTCCTTCGTCTGATATCTCATCGGAGGTTGTCTTAGTGTTTATGTCCTTTCACGAATTCTGTGTTGATGACACCAGGTACATTGTAATTAATATTCTTTGTAAAATTTTATTTGGGGTCTATCTAGTAGAATATTTATAGATTCTTTTCTTTGGTTTTATAAAAGGTTAAAGATAAGAGCAAATCTCAAAGCAACAATTATGAGACTTTTAAATTCTGACATAACAAAATTGAAAAAATAAAAGCATTCAACAATGATAATCATTGTTGTAGAAACTTCATGTACAAAAATGTAGAACAGTTTCTAAAAGGTTCTAGTTTAGTTAATTCATTAGGTCAAGTGGCCATCCTAATAAAGTCCCACAACTTGAAATTGGAATAATACTGTGTGAATTACAATTATACAAAACATCGTGTTTTGAAAGTTCCACCATGTAGAATATACCTGAGTCCTGTACATGTACTTTACTAAACCTTTATAGAAAATACCTTTAATAGCTTACATATAAAAATATGTGTAAAATGTTACAAACATATAATATTATAATGTGATTTGAGTGATGTGAAATCATTTACAAAAGGAGTGGTAAAGAGATGGGAAACAACCCTCACAGAACATGCATGATCATATAAAAAATAGACAACACACAGAACATTAAAATGCATTTGTAGAAAAAAACTCGATGGTTTTAAGATTCATATATAGTTTAATATACAATATACAATGTATTTGTCGCTATACATTTGTACCTACATGTAGATACAGCATCTCATCGAACTCAATCAATTTCTTTTTATATTAATATTAAAACTATTCGACCATAGCTTTGCTGGCCATTTACATACATGTATCTTTATTTATTTCTTGTTTACGTTGTACGCTACTTACATCAAATGGACCCTTGAAATACTAATTACCTTTACCCAAACCCTACAAGGCTCACATGATAAAATATTTATGCTGCATCAATGAAATTTGAGTTGTTCAAAATTTCTACATATGCATACTATTACACAACATAAAGGAGGTTTTAAGATATTCAAATCAATATCTTTTCCAATATTAAGAGATATCCTAGGCCCTTAACCTTATTGTATGAAATTGTTACACAAAGCTTATTTAAGTCCACACATGAAGGCATGTATATTTAGTTGGTGAATCATTGTTGGCAGGAATTTCACAGTAAAGGCTGCTGACTGTGATTGATTCAATCTAAAAATTTCTTTGTATTTAATTTGATAAAATATACCATAGAGTTGTAAATAAAGAGTCCTCACTGTAATCATCAGCAACAACTTTGTGGTGCTGTACAATGTACATACATGTAAATAAGCATCATCTCAGACATATCCAATATTTCTTTTTATAAACTTACAAATTGTAACAGGACAAATAGTTAAAAAGCAGCCTTTTTCATAAAATTTACACACCATAAACCTAATCACAAAAATATTGGTAGTACGGTACAGGTATGAACTTATTGAACTACAATGTAGTCTTATTCAAAAGAAATAAAAATTCTGTTACATTTTACAGCAAAACATAAATGTTTCATTACATTTTTTTTTACATGTTATCATATTCAGAATCAGACAATGAATTACGTTTGTACCAAATAAGCACATGCAACTGTTGAAAATCGTAAATTATAAACAGTGCAATGTTAAGAAATACGAGAACATTTTAAGATTAAGAGGTTGAAATAACAATGTGAAGTCAAAAAGGGATTTTTGTCCACATACCTGTAGCTGCAACTGGTAAGCATAGAAAGAAAACAAGATTTTGAAAAATACATACAACATTTCATTAGTTTCCTACAATTGTACATTTCATTCAAAACTTTCAGACATTAAAAGATTTTACATGTGAAGATATTTATTTTACAGTTATCTATGTCATGTTTGTGTGTTTTATACATGTAGATGAAGATACACATGCAAAGCAAATGGCATGAATTTGATGGTAAACCAATTATGCAAAAGTCAAATCTGTGAGACTTTTTTTCTTCAATTTCATTACCTTTGCCATAAATATAACCATGTGAAATAACATCACTTTAGGTGCATCCATCAACTTGTAATGTAATATCACATAACAGTTGTTTTAGGAAGGAATTTCATAAACAGTATATTCTACTTTTGTCAGTTTGTTTGTTTGGTGTAAGTAGCGAAATTGCAAAATAGGGAAATGAAAACCTTCTGTTGTGTTAATTTTGTCATTTAAAAGCGATAGCAAACAAAAACCAGTACAGCAATTATATGTTCATTTTAAGGCAAGGTAATAACAAATTTGAAACGCTATTGTGTTTTAAGTATACAGTGGAATCCCCCGTGTCCGTGAGGCTGGTGATAACACGCATAACCTTATTTTGTCATATCCTCAATGTAACGATGTTACATAAATAGAATTGTTCTTGTAATTGTTTTAGTTGTTTGAAGGGACAGAAAAAAATTTAATTTATAAGTTCAAGCATGAATTCATAATTGCAATCCCATGATTAACCATATTTAACCATTTTCAAATAAAAAATTGGGTTCATTCAACTTCATTTTATCAAACTGAAAAAAACTTTTGATCCGCATCCTTGGCAGTCTGTTTGGTTCAAACTGATCTGTATTTCGCAGTATAAAATCCTTCCTTTATTCAAAGTTAATGCATGAAATCACCAAACATAATAATGATATGAACAACGTTTACAAAATTGTTTCCCCCTGGTAATCCTTGAAGAAAATCTGCTGGTCCTCACTATTATTTCTATTGCAAAATACTAAAATTGTGTCAGTCCTAAGCAAAATTTTGGTGGTCAAATCCTTTGGACCATCACTTTTTCACAAACTCTGTATGAAGACCCGTCAAAACAGGAGTTTCCCTCATTTTGGACACACATTACACAAATTCTCAAGGGTGAAATCATATATTAAGAAGATTTGATGAAATTAAAGTATGTCATGAATTTGTTCACAATTTATTAGCCAATTATTGGTTTTAATGAGGTTTCAAAGTGAAGCCAAAAGTCTAAGGTGCGCAGACTGCATCATACATATTTTATTATTTATAAATACAACATACATGTATATTGTGTGAGTTTGAGTTAGCTTCAATAACTACAAAAGCATCTATAACTACTGTTATCAAATTTTAAATGTACACTTCTTCTTTTCAGCATAACCTGCAGTAGTTGTACCTAATGTTTTGGTACATGTAAAATATCACGAATTCTAGGTGAAGTAATTCATTTTATGCCCTAAATATGTGATCAAATTAGCCACAAGAAACTATAACTATAAGTAAATAGCATTATTAAGTAATTTCTGATTACATATTTTGAACTGGAAAATATTTTGGAAAGGCATGAATCATAACCCAAGTACAGGTGTAATCAGGTAACTTTGCAATCAATGTTTTACACTGATGTTTTTACCGAATAACCTGAAAGTATACGACGACACTTTACTTACACACAGAGGACTGTCCAAGAACAGTCTGAATCAAAACGTATAACAACAGGTTTCTTAACATTGTCACTTGAATTTAGATGCCATTTGCAGTGTTTGTCAACTTCCGTAATCGGTTAAACGGTTTTTACCTGTACTGCGCGCAATAATATAGAGCAAGAATTTGGTCTAAACTTTCTTACCTCTTTAAAAAACTGTAATTCAAAAACATCATTATTTGTAAAATTTATTGAAGACAATTTGAAAGTAATATGCATTAATACAAATAGAAATATTATGTTTAGCGTATTAATATTCATTTGACTGGTTTAAGCTCATCTATTTTAATCAAAGAACTGAAGTACTATAAGATCATATAAAACAAAAACAAAAAACTACGTGGCAGAAATCCATTACTAATAGTAAACCAATCTCGAGTTTTTTATGTCTTCTATGGGTGTACTATAACGATTAAAACGACAATAACAAGAGATTCTGGTAAAATCCCAACAGATTGGAAGCAGGCTATTCAGTAATGTTGTACATAAAAAGGTATAAAGCATAAAAGATTTATTTAAAGTCGGGTATACATATAACAATACAACATATATAAGCTCTGTAGAGCTTTTTACCGACATACACAATCATATATGATAAACACAAGACATAAAACACATAAAACAGAAAGCACCGTGATGATCATGCAAAGCATAAATACTGATATCAAGCACAGCAAATAATAATAATAATAATAATGAAAGAAAAGAGGTGGGTGTGTGCCAGTGAGACATTTTATGATATATATGGTAAATTAGAATGGTTAAAAGTGCACATTTACAATATAAATCAATTGTTTTAAAAACAATTGTTAAACGGTCTTTCCCCTCCGAAACATGATAAATTGGTTTTTTGCTTGGTTGGTTGGTTGGTTGGTTGGTTGGTCGGTCGGTCGGTCGGTCGGTCGGTCGGTCGGTCGATTGATTGATTGATTGATTGATTGATTGATTGCATGCATGGCACTTTTTCTGTGCGACGCAGCTAACTTAAATAACGCCTATTCTAACCGAACGTGACTGCGTACCTTGTACATCCCACACAGCCAAACGGACGCCTGAGATGTCCTCATAAAAATTGATCCTAGCATCATTCGTTTATAAATTTTCTCTAGTTTCTATGTTACCTCGGACTTCCATTTTTCATCTATTTGTTGTGTATGCATTTTGATTGAATTTGTAGGAAAACGGAGTAAATTTTATCTTGGAAGTTTTATTTTCCTTATTTGGATTCCCAGTTAACACAAAAACATTGTGTTTATGTTTTAAAAACATTTTGAAAAATGTTGTGAAAATATCGTAGAAAATATCAAAATCACGTTAAAATGTATGGCGCTAAAAATATTTTCAAAACATTTTCCATAACATGTCCAGGATATTTTTAAAACATCATTAAAACGTTTCTGAATTTTGTTGACAATGTTTGTAAAATGTTTTGTAAATGTTTTAAATATGCATGTTTATAAAATATCCTTGAAACATTTTTAAAACATAAAAAAAAATGTTTTTGCAGGATAAAATGTTGTGAAAATGTTTAAAAAACATTTTACAAAATGTTTTAATAATGTTCATATTCTCAAAACATCATTTAAATGTTATATGAATATCATTAGAAAAATGTTTCCTTACATCATCATTCAAATGTTTTATAAAATATTCAAAAAACATTTTAATCATGTCTGATCTGGGGGTGGGGAGGGGGGAGGCCTGGGTCCCCTTATGGAGCTACAATTATGGTTAATCTAATTCCACCTATTTCACTCAAACTTTGTCTAGTTTAGAGGGCCTGTGGCCCCTCTTTTCATAATCCTGGATCTGCATCTGAAAAACAACTGCTGTCATACTGATCTTTACCCCACATCTCCTTTTAATACAATTGTTTGTTGATTACAGTTGAATCTACATATATTTTGTTTACTTTTGTTGGATTGATGTATCATTGACATAACCCTATTTTTTGTAATACCTTGAACACGTAATAATTTGTCATGGTTTTTTTCTGATTTTAATCTTTGTGCATTTTTTTGAGAAGTATTTCTTGATCTCATGTTTGATCACATGTAGCATCGGACATTTTTTTTTCTGAAGTTTTTTGACTGTTTTCTTTGCTGCCTTAGTCAACACTATATAAGATAGAATTACAATTATAAATGCAAAACATTTATTCAATATTTTCGTATCACTGTTCTTTTTCAAAGTTTCTTTTGTTCCATTCTTTTTATTTCTTTTGACATCTGCTGGCTTCTGTAAAATAAAGTGTAAACAAATTAGTCCTTCTGTTTAGTGATTAATCGAGTGGAAATTCAGCTTATTTCATTGAATTACACAATAAACTATTTTTCTTCAATTTAATCCAGTGTTTTCACAAAAATAAAAGTGTCATCTAATCAGTGTTAATGGATTCAGAAGCAACAATTGTAGCTACTTTATCACGGCTGGTAATCTACACACGCAGAACAATTGGTTCTGCAATGAAAACCGTGAGAGGATTTTCCGGTTGTGCTTGAGTGGAGTAATTGTCATCGCTTCAAAAGGTATGTACATTTCTTAATTGCAATTTTCTAATTCAACTGATCAACATATTGAAAATCGGAGAATGCTATGCTGTGGTAAATACTTTAACGAAGAGATACATGTATCATTTACTGTTGTACATGGAGTTAAACTCCTACAAAATCAGTTGCCTCACGAGTAATTGCCTAAAAAAGTGACATTTAAATTTTGAAATGGTTCTATTAACAGACCTACAAGTTCAAATTTAGTTTTTTTTTCGGTTAATGGGTATTAATGTCGTTTTAGGCGGCGTGTACGCTGTCAGGTGTTGATAGACGTCTTAATAAATCTAAAAACTACAAATTTTCATTATTTCATGCGTGAGGGGATCGATTCTGATTGAGGACATCGTGAATGCGTGAGTGGACGTGAAATCATATCTTAATATCCAAGCTATGAGTCGTTGAACGTTGCCTAAATTTGGTTAGATTGTTCATGACAAAACACATTTGTGTGCATAAAAAAAAACCTATGAGATAGAATTTTGAAATAAATTGTGGGAAGATAGGTTTTATAATATGTTTTAAGACAAATAAAAAGAAAAAATGGTGTCAACGATTTTGTTTTCTTGCTACAAGTAAAAATTCAAATTTTCCCTATCAGCCCAGTATAAATTTTTTACTAAAAGAGTTATCTCCCCTTAAATTGGCTTATTTGAATAAAATTGATTCTAAAAACACAAAATTTGATATTTGTTTAAGGTAGATTCATGGTATACCGCCATCTTGGATTGTACTATCGCAGTACACAATCAGTCTAGTTATTTGCCCAAACCTGCAAATTTGTGAACAGATGTGCAATTTTATTGGTTAGACTGTTTATTTATATGAAGAAAACTTGCTGATTTATTGCAAAATATATAAACACATACCACACATTTTGTGTTTTAGAATCATTTTTTTTTTAACTAAGCCATTTAAGGGGCGATAACTCTTTTAGTAAACAAATTATACTGCACATTTATTCTAAAACCAGTTGTTGGCATGACACGGGTTATGTTCTTCTCATATATTTTATGGCGGTATAATACTAAACCCCTAACAGGAGGGATTGTGCCTGATATTCATATGATGAAGACATAATCTTTCAATCAGTTTAATTGAGGTCTAGAGCTGGCATGTCAGTAACTGCTAGTAGTCTGTTGTTATTTATGTATTATTGTCATTTTGTTTATTTTCTTTTGTTTCCTATTCTGACATCGGACTCGGACTTCTCTTATACTGAGTTTTACTGTGCGTACGTATACTGTTGTGTGATTGTTTTTTCTACATTGGCTAGAGGTATAGGGGAGGGTTGAGATCTCAAAAAACATGTTTAACCCCGCCGCATTTTTGCGCCTGTCCCAAGTCAGGAGCCTCTGGCCTTTGTTAGTCTTATATCATTTTTAATTTTAGTTTCCTGTGTATAATTTGGAGTTTAGTATGACGTCCATTATCACTGAACTAGTATACTTATTTGTTTAGGGGTCAGCTGAAGGACGCCTCCGGGTGCGGGAGTTTCTCGCTGCATTGAAGACCCATTGGTGGCCTTCAGTTGTTGTCTGCTCTATGGTCGGGTTGTTGTCTCTTTGACACATTCCCCATTTACATTCTCAATTTTATGATAGGGATTTTTTTTATCTTCACTTGCAACAAGAAAACAAGTTCGGTGACACCATTTCTTATTTTTATTTTCTTAAAACATACAACAAAACCTATCTTCTCTCAATTTATTTCAAAATTCTATCTCATAGATTTCTTTTTATGCACAAAAATGTGCTTTTCATGATCATTCTAAGCAAATTTAGGCAATTTTCAACGACTCATAGCATGAAAAAAAAGCACTGTGACCCATCTTTTTTATAATATTTTTTGAAAAGAGCATAGTAAAATCTTCGTTTTGGCAAAGTATAAGAAAATTCTATCTCGGGGAACATATACCGATGATCTACTTTATACAATAAATCACCAAGTTTTATTTATATGAATATACAGTCTTACCAATAAATTGCAAATCTGTCTCCAAATTTGCAGATTTGGGCAAATAACTAGACCGATTATTATTATTATTTAAAAAAATATCAAATTTCGTGTTTGAGAATAATTTTTTTCAAATAAGCCAATTTAAGGGGAGATAACTCTTTTAGTAAAAAATATATACTGGGCTGATAGGGAAAATTTGAATTTTTACTTGTAGCAAGAAAACAAAATCGTTGACACCAGTTTTTTATTTTAATTTTTCTTAAAACACTTTATAAATCCTATCTTCCCACAATTTATTTCAAAATTCTATCTCATAGTGTTTTTTTTTTTTTTTTTGCACACAAATGTGTTTTTTCATGAACAATCTAACCAAATTTAGGCAACTTTCATTGACTCATAGCTTGGATATAAAGATATGATTTCACGTCCACTCACGCATTCACGATGTCCTCAATCAGAATCGATCCCCTCACGCATGAAATAATGAAAATTTGTAGTTTCTGGATTTATTAAGACGTCTATCAACACCTGACAGCGTACATGCCGCCCAAAACGGACATTCATACCCATTGAC